AAATGGGAAGTAAAATCACATGACTGCATTCTGTGGTATATCTCAGAGAGAAGAAAACCACTTTGATCAATAGGTATTTTGAGAAGAGAATGAAAACTACCTTCCTCTGGGGAGAGGGGAATCAGGAGGTGAACTCCCTAACCTCTGCCACAAGAAAAGGAAGAAAGCTTTCTCAAGATCTCACAGAGGATAATAAATTTCCTCCCTTCAGCTAAGTAAAATAAAGTGAGATACAGAATGGAGTCACAGACATGGTTACTGCACTGATTCTCACAATGGTCTATCTGGATTACTCTGTGGTTTCTGTCATGCTTTCTAAAGGCAACAAAACACAGAGAAGACTGTACCTGGCCCCGTTTTCTTAGTTGCTTTCTCTCTTCAGTTGTGGTGAGATAGTTCACTGCTGCATATTCAATGACAGACAGGAAGACAAAAAGGAAGCTGGTCCATAAATACACATCCACAGCTTTTATGTAAGACACTTGAGGCATTGAGGCACTTACTCCTGTCATGATGGTTGACATTGTCAGCACTGTAGTTATACCTGCCAAAGAAAAAGGTAAGGTTATCCTAATACTGGCCAGTTTGGATCATGAACTTTGCTTGGACAGAACAGCTCTGTGAGGGCGTATCGTTGACACTGCCTGTATCTTCATTGCACAGGCTCTGAAAAGTGGAGTGAACCATGAAGGCCTATCACGTACAATACTGAAACAAGTAAACCATCTCTTTGCTCAGTGCGTGCAGTTAGAGCTGTGGCACACCAGGTTTGAACAGTGGGAACAGTGGGAACACAAGAATGGTGATTCAGCAGCGTAATTCTGTGAAATTAAAGAAATTAATTAAATGAAATTTATTTAATTAAATAAAATTAAAGCACACATTTCTGTGACAGCTTTAAGCACTGCTGCAGAGAGTGAAAGCAGATTTGTGGGCTTCCCTCACTTCCCAGAGCCAGGGTCTCCACTTTCTTGTCCGAGAGAATCACGAAAGAATCACCAGTTTCCCTCCCAACCCTTCTCAAATTGTACTTCTTGAGAACAGCTTGTATGTCTTTGTCATTACTCCATGTCTTTCTAAAAACACTCTAGCATAAAAATGCTATATTCATTAAAATTAAGAAACAGGTTTTGTTTACTTCAGAATGTCTAGAATTTCACCCTCATCCCCTCAATCTCTTCTTACATGCAGCTATTCATTTCGCTTTGCTCTGTCTCAGAAAAAAAAACAAGACCAACAACCAAATGAGGCCCTCTTTTAAAGAGATGAATGTAACACTGGAAGTGAAGAAATACTAATAATACCCGTGAGACAGAACTGGCTGATGGCATGGCTTTTCATGCTAGGTCTAACTGTAGACTTTCTCCAGCTTTATGCTAGTTCAAGTCCATTGGAACATACAGGAGTTTCCCCTCTCCCTCTCTGCAAGTTCCTTAGGTTGAAAGATGGTGTTTGAAATATACCACATAAGAGGAAATCAATTTATTTGAAATAAGTATACTCTATGCCAGGTTGCTAAGCTTTTTAATCTTTGCCGTTAACATTGCCTGTATGCTTATGCTAATGAAATGTGCATTACCCACAGAACTCCTGATGCATAACCATCTGCAGAAATCCTTATATAAATTAAAAAACATGATCAGCAAAACCATCTTGATAACATTATAAATGACCTACTGAGAATTAAGACTTTATTTTTAAAGATAAAGTTAAAACTTCTTATAAACAAAAGGAGTTGCTAGATGTATTAATAAAAGGAGGTATTATAATTTGTTTTCAACTAACAAATAGATTTATAACTCATGTATTAGTAACTTCAGCCTGTCAACAGAAAGGGATCTGAGGTAGCTACAGTCCTATTTTTTTCTAGATTGATATAGCTGTAGATAAAAGTTGAGGGCTCCCTCTGTACACGCAATTTTGTTTCTTAAACAAAGATCCTCAAATTTTCACTTGTCTAAGAAATATGGCAACATTCATTTGCCTTCTGGGACTAGCATCAGTAAGAAGAAAGAACAGGAACTTCTTTACTAATTCTTAAGCCAACAGTTGCACAACACAGACGCATTATGGTTACATTAGAAATCTTAACAAATTTTCATTAGATCTTCACAGAGATGCTAATCTGAAAAAAAAAAAAGTACTCATTCCACTGCCGTCAGCATTAAATTCCCAACAAAGACAGTCCTGAAGTGGTATTAACTGAAAACCAATAATGTTATTAAAAAAACCCCAGTGTAATTAGTGATTTTCTCCTGAGCTGTGGTGTTCAGAACTAAAACTGTTAGAGCAGAAAGTTGCCCACAGTACTCTTTGGCTTCCTCAGAACCCTGTATGCCTTCTGCAGTTAAGGCACTAAAGGAAACATTTTCAAGGTGCCTAACAAAGAAAGGCTTTGCTACATAGGACAAATTAGGAAACTGGTTCCAAGTCAGGAGGAAGATATCAAGTGTTTCTAGAGAGAAAACAGAGCTGTAAAGCTGTAAAGCATGATTGCATTATGCCTATTAAGTATCTCTTATGAACCATGGATTTGGGGAGGGACTTGACTACCAGTTACTACCTGTTACTTTGCTGGGAAGAGGGGAGGAAAATCCCAGTCTGCGCAGGAAGAAAAAGGGAAAAAAAGTAATTCAGTAAAATCCTACATAAGGAGACCAGCAGAATCATTCCTTTTCCTTTTTGTTGTGTGAGCTGTTCTCTAATATAGCAAAGCAAGTCTGAACAAACATCCCATTTTAGTAGAGGTTGACTCCTTTAGGAGTTTGTGGTATTGACAACAGTAGCAATAATAGTTGTTCAGGCAAATACCTGATATAGTTGCTCATGTCCTGTGTAAATATGAAGCTAAGGTAATTTCAAAACCTCTCCCCTATCCATTCTGTACTTCCCAGAAAAACATATGTTAAAGGTTTACCTAGTGATACCCTGGCAGGAACGGCTCTTCTGTCAATCCAAAATGAAACCCAAGACAGCATCACCATCAGCATGGCGGGGAAGTAGGATTGTAGCACAAAAAAGAAAATATGTCTCCGAAGCACAAAGTTTATAAAAAGTCGATTGTACCAACCTATTGAAAAAAGAGAGGAACAGGTTGGGGGAGAAGAGAGCTGTGTTATTTGTGAGCTCTGTTCACTGGCCTTCTCCTTTCAACTGGAATGGTGTATTCTCATCAGTAATAGTAAACACCTAAGAAATAGTGCCACTACCTTGGTTTTATATAGTGCTTTATTAACTATCCTTCATCCCTCATTAAAATACTGCTGCCTTGGGATCAAAGCATCATGACTGCATAAATAAAATACTGTATTATAGCTGAGGTTATGAAATTGAGGAGAAAAAAAAAAAAATTAAATAGACTTCAAGTGAAACTGCCGGGAGAATGCAGACAGAATGTAATTGTCCAGTTCAGCTAGGACAGTAAAGCCAACACCCTTCCTCCCCTAAAAAGTAGCCTGCCTTCTCTCATGCTACAAATACCCAGCAGTAAACAGCACTTTTCTTACTGCCATACAGGTTTACCTGCCCAGCATTGACTTTAGAGGAAAGGGTGCCACCTAGTGAATTTTGGTGGCACAGTCTGTCTGTGCAGCAAAGCATGCGTGCTTCACCTCCTGTGATGGGAGGGAAATGAGTGAGGTGAAGACAAAAGTGGCTGGCTGCGCAGCATCTGCCTGACCCGTACAAATAGAGACATTAACAAGACTGTGTTGGAGCAGCCATGCTATCACAAAGAGGCTCTTTATAAAAAATAATATATCAACAAAACCCCCATCTAATATTAAACATGCTTTATGTGTTTTCACTTCTGGAGAAGGTTTTTGGGCTTAAAAATTATTGTCTCAAAAATGGATTGAAATCGTTGATCCTTTGGAGGCCAGTGAACTCCAAAAGCCTCAATGCTACACGTGTGGTTCTCGGAGGTGCACAGGAAATGATATGCAGAACCTAAAATGTGGGAGGCTGCTCCATGAGCAGCATTTTTGTCCATTTTTTGCCCAGGACTCTTCAGGGGAAGATGGCTTCCATTAGAGTTGTGCTGATGGTTCCCCACTATTACTTTAGGGGAAGGGTTTCTGTGTAATCATTTTCATCCAACAAGAAGCAAAATAAAAGAACAAGGAAAGTGGAGCCTCCTGTAAGAAAGAAAACCTCAAAGTAAAAGTATGTGCTTACAAAGGGCAGTGTTCTAACTAAAATATGGAACGCACATTGTTCAACTACTTCCCAGGATCCCTGTGACTTAAAAAAAAGTCTTTCCTTTCACCTTATCCTGCTGAGTAAGCTCATCATCAAAACATATGCATGTAAGTGTTTGTGGGGGTTGGAATGTGTCAAAGCTGGCAATTAAGAGTGACCATGGGAAGGAGGAACTTTAGTAGGCAATTAAGAGTGACCTGTCCCTGACTGGTACTTGGAAGATGTTGGAACTGGCAAGAAACAAGGACGTTGGAACTGGAAAGAGGATGTTGATAAGAAAATCAGATAGATCTTTCACCTGATGTAACTGCAAGGCAAACACAGATGTGCTTGGCTAATTGCTTGGAAGCATATAAATAATCTGTTCAATAAACGATCCAGCTTGCACTCTACATCTGGGTCCGTGCCTCCATCCTCACAAGTGTTGAGCAGTTACACTGCAAAAAGTCAAAGGTGCTGTGAAGGTGCTGCAAAGGCATGAGTATTGGGGTGCTGGGGGGTTGCTTTATTGTGCACAAGGCCATATCTGCTTGCATAACTGTTTTTTTTATGAGAACAGCAAAGCAGAAAGAGTTCCCGGAACTCATTTTCAACACTCAGTGATAGCAGTTTGGTGGAAAACATCCCAGTCTCCTTCTTGCAACAAGAACAAAGTTGACGTAGCTCTCAGTAAGGCACAGTTATGATAGTAAGGTATCACTCACCCTCTTCTCACATGACAATGGCTCTGGAGCTCTGTTCTTAGCTCATACACAAGCAAAAGAAGGATCTGATCAAGCTGTGAATTCCTTAGTGCTTTAGCTGCATTATAATTTAAACCGGTATTACTGCATTCAATATCAGCCACCATAAACTTGAATGGATCTTTTTTAAATATAAAAAAAAGCTGTCCTATAAATAAAATACAGTAAATAAAACTATTTTCAGCTTTTCTGTATGTCTTCAAGGATTTTTTCCAAAGTGCTATGCATTTCATCATATTACTTTGATATCAAGGGTTATATCCACGCTGAAATAAACTGCCTCAGACTGGTGAGTGCAGTAGCAAACATGCTGTTTTATCTGGTTAAAAACATATGGTTAGACTACTTATATAGAGAAGTATTTAAAAATTTATAACTGCATGTACAAATACAAAGAAAATAAAACCCACCTTGCATGAAATCAAGGCTGTAATAAAATCCTAAAGCCTTGTGCAGTTTGCCAGAAAGTATTGTTCAAGTTCTATAGGGAGAAATAAAAACCTGTCTGGGGCAGATACCTGTAGTTAAACAATGCAGCAGAGATCTCAGACAATAAAACACACTGGGGTTCCTCATGTTTTCTCTCTAGTATTTGACCCTTTAGGGTTTGAATTTTCAAGTTCTTCTATATAACTAGAACCCAAAGATTCCTGCGAAACCAGTACTCCAGGGGCTTTAAGAGAAGCATCAAAATTTTGCAAGAACTCACAGCAGCATATATTTGGTTGTTGTGCCTTTTTTCAGATTCTTATTGTCAGACGTTAAGTTACAGGTATTATGGCCTCTTCTAATATCACAGTATCACAGTATCACAGTATGCTAGAGATTGGAAGGGACCTCAAAAGATCATGTAGTCCAATCCCCCTGCCGGAGCAGGAACACCTAGATAATGTTACACAGGAATGTGTCCAGGCGGGTTTTGAATGTCTCCAGAGAAGGAGACTCCACAACTTCCCTAGGCAGCCTGTTCCAGTGTTCCGTCACCCTTACTGAGAAGAAGTTTCTTCTCAAGTTTAAGTGGAACCTCTTATGTTCCAGTTTGTACCCATTACCCCTTGTCCTATCATTGTTTGCCACTGAGTAGAGCCTGGCGCCATCCTCGTGACACTCCCCCTTTATATATTTATATACACTAATAAGGTCACCCCTCAGTCTCCTCTAAACTATAGAGACCCAGCTCCCTCAGTCTTTCCTCATAAGGGAGATGCTCCACTCCCTTAATCATCTTAGTTGCCCTGCACTGGACTCTCTCCAGCAGGTCCCTGTCCTTCTTGAACTGAGGGGCCCAGAACTGGACACAATATTCCAGATGTGGTCTCCCCAGGGCAGAGTAGAGGGGAAGGAGGACCTCTCTCGACCTACTAACCACCCCCCTTCTAATACACCCCAGGATGACATTGGCCTTCTTGGCCACAAGGGCACAGTGTTGGCTCATGGTCATCCTGTCGTCCACTAGGACCCCCAGGTCCCTCTCCCCTACGCTGCTCTCTAACAGGTCGTTCCCCAACCTATTCTGGAACCTGGGGTTGTTCCTGCCCAGATGCAGGACTCTACACTTTTCCCTTGTTATATTTCATCAAGTTATTCCCTGCCCAACTCTCCAGCCTGTCCAGGTCTCGCTGAATGGCAGCACAGCCTTCTGGCGTGTCAGCCACTCCTCCCAGCTTAGTGTCATCAGCAAACTTGCTGATAGTACACTCAATTCCCTCATCTAAATCATTGATGAATATATTAAATAATGCTGGTCCCAGTACTGACCCTTGAGGCACTCCACTAGATACAGGCCTCCAACTAGACTCTGCCCCATAGACTACAACCTTCTGGCTTCTCTCCTTCAGCCAGTTCACAGTCCACCTCACTACCTGATCATCAAGAAAGTGTTACACTGGTAATGTAAGGAAAAACAAGGACCTGGGCCAACAGACCAGTGTAATTGAGAGACCTCATTTTAACTGAGATCTTTTTAAGCAGTAACGGTCATTTATTAGCAATGAATTTGAAAAGTAATTCTGCATGATTGTGTCCTGTGCTTCACTCTTCTAATGACAGGGGCTTACTGTACCAGTACTGCTGTAAAAAGCTAGTCCACTGGAAGCACTGAATTCTTCAATGAAAAATTGGGAGAGGGAGATGTGCTCATCTGTGCTCAGAGACTTGTTTCCGTGTTTCCAGTATAACATCAGATCGTCTTCATTGTATGCATCTACGAGAAAGTAAAAACTAAATCACCTCTTCTGCTGGTATAATGCTTTTGTTTTATTTTTCTTAGGGATAAGAGGCCACTCAAACTATTTGGGAAAACCCCAAAGAAACACTTTTTTTCACATCAATCTGCCACTTAGTTGACATGGAAAATTTTCAAAGACCACATTCCATCTGGTTCTAAGTGGACCCCAGTCCTATGCCCTGTCACCAGCTCACCTGACAGATGGGGGAACCTAAGCAAGCTCAGGGTCACAGGGCATTTAGGACCAGAACACTGGAACTGCAACACTGAGCAGACTGCCTGAACACTGGGGATCTGTTCTCTTTTCCAAAACTGAACTACAAACCAGCATTCCAGTTTTACTCATAATCCAAATAGAAATAAATTTTGACATAGCAAAAGGCTTAGCAACACAGAATTACTGTTTGTTCCCAGCTTTACAATTTACTACAGAAAACTGAGTCAGGGATGAGAAAGCAGATACTTCACAGTAACACAAGCACTTGTTTTCATTGCTTCATGAGATTAAATATTGACATTTTACTTCTAACCTTTCTTTTTCAGAAAAAAAAAAGAAAAACCTGGAAAAAAAAAAAACCATGATTTTTGACAGAGGAAACATTTTTAGATTCAGGCCTTGGAATACCAACCCAGTCAAAACAAAGCAGGGTGCATCATGGGTTTTTTATCTTCCCAAAGCTCACTAAGTTCTGTAAAGATCCCAAACTGGTCACAATTTAACCTGGGTTATTGAAGGGTTCAGGTCACATGTCAAAATAAGTTGAAAAGGTATTATTAATAAGATGGAGTATGGAGTGCTGATAAGAATGCACATGTGAAGAACAGGTACGCATTAAACTTACAGCTTTCCAGTTCTAAAGAGCAATTCTGGGTGTCCAGAGGAAACCTACTGAAATCCATGAAACACATAGCAGAAACTGTTATTCTGCAGAAAGAAAGACAAAACCAGAAATTAAATGAAAAATTTCACACTATCTTAGAGCTGGGCAGACAACTTAGTGTGACTCCCGACCAGTCTGCCGCTTAGAATCCTAATGATTGAGTTTTTCAAGTTTTTTCAGATGCTTCTAAAATTGCTTCAAGATAGTGAGATAAAACTAGATCAGTGATAACACATTTTTTAAACATAATTAATTAGTCTTTCTTACTGAGTGCCTTACCTTTGTTTTTTAAACCTTTTACTGGCATGATCCTTCATTAGCCTTTCATACATTTTACTTTGAAGGGTTACACTTAGGAAGATTAATAAGGGGAGTTCACACTTCTTGACCGAATTTCTCAACCGAATTTCTCATAGATTGAAGTAGATATTACAGATTACAGCAAATATTATTCCAAATGTTTCCCAGCTAGAATGCTTATAATATTTAATTGCATAAAAAGATAAGCTGCAATTTCTGGAAGCTTACTCTCCTTTTCCACACCATTTAAATGCCTTATACTCTAAAAAGCTTAAGGAAGTCTAGAAAAAGACATTATTTTGCATTCTACCTGATTTTTCAGCAGTGTTTAGAAGATGTATATCCCTTGATATTTTAAACAATAAACAGGCTAGAGGCAGCAATTTAAATATGGTGAATAATACCAAATTTCCCTTTCTTGTCATTTGATGTTTTAGTTTGACTTTTCAGTTTTTCCCAAACTGAATTCTACAGTTTAAGTATGAGCTATACTGGTTATATAAGCAATCTTTGAAAACTGCTGGTTGGTAAACACACTTAAACTTTACAAGTCTAAGATTCTACTAGCTTGTAGTATGATTGTAAGTGTGGCACATCTTTAAAATCATGCATAATACTTCCAACTACAGATGATGTTTCTATCTTCCAGCTATTGACTAAAGGATCAGGGGAAAACCAAGAAAATGTTTTTGAAAATCAAAGACTGTTTTAGCAACAAATCTGGATTTTTGTTCCACTTTGCTTCAATAAAATCCTGGATGCTATGCTCTAAAGAAAAACTGCAGAATATGCAGATTTCTTGCATGTTAAGTATTTGGAATATAATCTACCCTCTGCATATAAAACTGGCAATACAAAAGGGTGTTTTAATGAACATCTGATTCTCTTGGAACATACACATTAATAGCACTAAGCTAGAAAAATAATGTTTCACCTTCATAATTTCAAAACTTTAGTTCACCAACCTTTAGGTCACCCCTTTCCCTGCCTCTGGTAAGAGCTGATAGAGAACGAAAAGGACAGGACACCTGCCCTTTGTGCATATGTCCAGGAAGAAATCCACAGGTTTGGCAGGAACTTTGGGGCTTTGCTATTCACTGGCACAGGAAGGTGAAGCTGGCTGCAAGCTCACCTGGCAAAGCAAGGAGGAGTCATCCAGTATACACCATCTGGTAATGCTGAGTTAGGAAAAGGTAACTGTGGGAGCAGAGGACAAGGGCAAGGAAGAAAAACAGAGCACAAGCTTGCAAATGTGGTGTAGGACACAGGACAAGGGCTCCCATCAGAGGGGATTCTAAGCAATGAGCAAACTGATTCACACTGTATCTGTCCCTCAGATCTGCTTTCCCCTTTTCCTTCCCTCCCATTATGCTTTTTCCTTTCTCTCCATTTCTGTCCTGCACATCACATGCTATCTTCGGTTTGTAACTACTTGTGCACAATTTCTTGCTTTTATCTTGATGACACTTTACCTTTCCATTAAGCTGACAGAATGTGCTCTCCCATCTTAAGTCTCTTCACCACTCTTTCTTCCGTCAGCTGAATGTATGTCTTACCCCTCATGTGGAGTGCCACTGCTGTAAGCCTTAGTGTTCCCAATCTCTCTCTCATGAAGCATGGAAATTAATACAGCAATAAAATGCATACTTCACCTCATTATTTCTTACTGATCAGTGTGATTCTTGAGCATACACTATTTTAAAGTGACGTGCAGCTGTTGTTGTGATGGTTTCTGCATGTCTTCATTACTTGTTGGAACAATCATTAAATAGCCAAAATCTCAAATGCTTGCATGAATCTTCAAACTATCCAGATTAGATGAAGTATAAACTCTGTGCACAGGCCTAACCAGTAATAACCTGGAGAACTGTGATTTCTGCAATGCACAGGCCTTGGGGTCTGTACCCTAAGGGGAAAATTCCTCCAGAAAACTATTTCTGCCACATCATCCAAATCTACTTCATAAAGAAAAGCAATAACATGTAGATAAAACCACTGACAAGGAATTAACACAGGATAAATTTCAGTGATATTTACAACAGATGAAAAAATGCAATTGTTCTGTGACAAGAAACAAACAATATATAAATGACAGAAAAATACGTTATTTATATATGTTATTTATTTTCACACTGGTACACTCGTCACCAGTTCCCATTATCTAATGTCAGGGCATTACTGCCAGTTCAGTTTCAGAATCTTAACTACAAGTATTTACAGCAGTTTCTCACTATACAGACTACTGGTCCATAATTGCAGCCACGTATTTTCCTATAAAGGGGTATTGCTCTTACCGTAGACTGAAGAGTACATTGCCATCAGGGTATACTCGGAGCATGACATTTTCCACAGTTGTATCATGGATGAATGATCTTTTGGAGTGTACAAAAAATATATCAGGTACCCAGATCTTTTTTATCAGTCTTCCATCAAAAGTCATACTTTTGTTTTTGTTACTATGAAATGAAAGTCTCTCATCCTTCCAGTAATGTCTGAGATATAAAGTCATTGTGAAGTCCTTTGTTTAATTAAAAATAAAAGAAGACAATGCATGGTTTATTCACACACAATAGAAAACGGTACAAAGTAATCAACTCATGCAAAGGATCAGTGTCTTCTCTGGGTATCATCTGGAGGACCCTCAGTGAGAGGAATTAAATCCTACCCAATGAGTTTAAATACAGATGAGAACTACCTCTGAGATACTGGCTGTTCGCCTTGTAAACTGGTGTCTCAGTCTGAGGTACATACTTCATTTATACTGAGATAAAACTTTTACAGATTTCAGTGCTCTGCTGTATTGGTCCATCAGTGAAGTGATAAAGGAACTTTTAAACCAAAGGAAAATGGAAAAAGGTTTCCTCTGGAAATCTTTGCAAGCTTTTCCCAGAATGGACTGCGGTTCCTTTATAAAGGGATTAACTCGAGTTCTTCATGAGCATTATGTCAGTTTGTAAATTTCATTAATCTGTATATTCTGTACAAATACTGAACAGGGGATTGATGAATAAAATGCATCATAGAGAAATAATATGAAGAATTTTATTAGAGTAAAACCTTAAATTCTAGAAGAATTACAATTTTTTAAATATGAAATACTGTTTAAAATATTTTATCATCCTATTTAGAGAAACAGCATGACTGCAAATATACATGTGGAAAGAGATGGAGAGGATGCTCCAAACCCAGTCTGAGCTTCTGCACAGCCTCACGGCTTTGTGCTCACCTATGTAACTTCTGCTTTACTAGGCAGACATCATTGATCTCAATAGAACAATTACTTCTTATAAGAAGTAATTATAAGAATACTGGGAAGATACTTAGGTCTTCCCCTGTAATATGATTTGGGTAGATATGCAAAGGAATTCAGGGGTGCATACTGACTGACAGATCCCATTGCAAACTCAACACCTACAACTAGACCTTACATGAGATCTCTTTGTAAAGCTAACATGCCCTCCTATTCTAGGATTTGGCACTAATGGGTGGCATTATCAGTGACAATTTCAGCTGAGGAATGAACAGCCTGCATTCCAGTGCTACAAGTCCTTGATTGCAGTGTGGACATCTACTTTGAGGGCCATTCATGGAACTGATTTTTCTACTTCCATTTGTCACATCTACAGCTCCACCCATGCCAGAAATGATAAGAATTTTCAGATACAAATAAGCAAAGGAAATAAAGGATACAGAGCCTCTTCAACTAATGTGCTGAGTACTAAGGGCTCACGCAGAAGCCCCTGGGGCTTACTGAATGGTTGGTGGTTTCAGATTGGAGCACTATCCACTCTGATCTGTTCCTCTTACCCAGGGAGAAATTTGACATGTGCTTTAATATAGCACTTACTATTTTAAACAAGAATGACTTGCATGCTTCAAGGAAAGGTTGTTCTCTTTCAGGGTTTGCTTTCTTTAACTGTATTATTCTGCATCCAGCTGGGTGTTTCTGAAACCCTGAATTTTGGCTGAACTTCTATATTCCAGTTCCACTTACCATGTCAACTTCAGATATGCTGTCAATGCTTTCTACCTGCACATCAATGCCCACAGGTATTGGTGACCCTTCAATACAACAGAATGAGAGAGTGATGAGGAGCATAAATCCATATTAAATGGAAGACGGTGTATTAGCAACATACAGAAAGTACCCACCCCAGCATTTACTATGATCTTTCCACTTTAGTACACTAAATGAGAAAGACCATAGCAACAAAATAAAACATGATGTTAAACAGTTGTAGAAATAAGTAAAAGGCCTTCAGTGATCATTTTGCAGCCAGACTTACTGGCATTGCAGTTTGGACAGCAGGGACAGCTTCCTTGTTCAACTGCTAATGAACTGCTTGGAGCGCTACCTGGAACTCTCATAGCAAAAAGCTGAGTAAATATATCAAATACATCAAACTGCAAAGTTTTCTTACCAGCTCCAATGCTTTTTCCCACACTTAAAGTAATCATTACACCTCCTAATTATCTTTAGTTACACAACTATTTAAAGTTTGGCATAGGTATCCATGAAAAAGGATTGCTTCCTCTCTACCTCATAAGAGAAAACCTGTCATGGTTTAAGCCCAGCCACGCACTCACCCTCTTCTTCCCCGCCCTGCTCTAAGAGAGATGGGGAGGAGAATCGAAAGAATGTAACTCCTGTGGGCTGAGATAAGAACAGTCCAGTAACTAAGGTATAACACAAAATCACTACTGCTACCACCAATAATAATAATGATAATGGAAATAAAAAGGGGAGAGAATACAACATCTCACCACCAGCCAACCAATAACTCGCCCGACTGAGCAGTGATCTGGGACTCCCAAGTAACTCCCCCCCCGGTTTCTATGCTGGGCATGATGCACTGTGGTACGGAATACCCCTTTGGCTAGTTTGGGTCAGGTGTCCTGTCTCTGCTTCCTCCTAGCTTCCCGTGCTCCTCCTCACTGGCAGAGCATGAGACTGAAAAAGTCCTTGATCACAGTAAGCATTTGTCCTGGGTTTAGCAGTAGCAGTCAATTTTTCTCCTTCTTGGTAGCTGGTGCAGCGCTGTGTTTTGACTTCCAGCCTGGGAACAGTGCTGATAATACCGATGTTTTCAGTTGTTGCTAACTGATGTTTACCCTGACCAAGGACTTTGTGAGGTTCATGTTCTGCCAGAGAGGAGGGGAAGCCAGGAGGAAGCAGAGACAAGACACCTGACCCAAGCTAGCCAAAGAAGTATTCCATACCACAGCATGTCGTGCCCGGGGCGGGGGGTAACTGGGAGATACCTGGAAGGACATGGGCTTTTGGGTCCGATTTGTTTCTTGGCTGGTGGTATTGTATTCTCTTCCCTTGTTATTTTCTCTTATCATTGTTGTCGTTGGTGGTAGTGGTGGTGCTTTGTGTTGTACATTGGTTGCTGGACTGTTCAACCCGTGGCAGTTGCACTCTTTCGATCCTCCTCCCCATCCCTCCGGGAACGGGGAAGGGGAGAGCCCCGGGGGGGTGCCTCGATTGCTTCCAGCCCGGCACCACTCACTGGCAGTGAGTGAACAATCTGCCTGGCTAGGGTTTAAACCATGACAGCATTACGTAGCAGGAACTAAAAAACATCTGTGTGTTATCAGCACTGTTCTCAGGCTAAAGTCAAAACCACAGCACTGCAACAGCTACTAAGAAGGAGAAAAGCAATTGCTAGTGCTGAACCCAGGGCAATACTAAAAATGTTCTGTGATGGAGAATCATGTATTACTGAGTACATAATTTATTATCAAGTACAATACACGCCAAACTGACGTGTATTTATTTGATATACTTGATATATATTTGACATGACTTTATTTGATATACTAGCCCACTATTTCATGCCACTGAATAAGGCTGTGAGTTTGTAACATAATGGGATCCAAATGAACAAATTATAAAAGCATATTTACATTTTTACAATAAACTGACTAAAAATCAAAATTACAGGAAAATATAAAATGTATAACTTCTAGAATGAAGGATCTGGTTCTAGATGGGTTATACACCTGTGTAATTTTCAGCAAGCAATTCCACTAAAGCAATTATTAATCAGTTCCTTACGCAGGAGAGAGAGGAGAAAGTTGTGTGCATACATGTGTATACTCCCTTCTCTCTCTTCTCCCCCAAGAATATTCTGCATTTGGCCTTAAAATTGATAGCATTTATTGTACATAGGATTCCAATTACATTTGTTTAAAGTATTTTTTAAGCGCACATTCAAACTAGTCCAGTACAAAACATGAGGGCAATGAAGTCTGAACAGCAGGAGATAGCAACTATTTTTAAACTTGTCTTTTTTTTTTTCCTTTTATTAGTGTCAAGCCAAAATAGTCCAGAAATATCACTCTCCTGATAACCAGCCACATTTACTTTTGGAATTATCTTTAAAATAGCAGCCCTCGAAGATTACACAGCTGCCTCCATTTCTTACCAGTGGAGATCTTGAACTGTTTTTGAGATACTTTAAAATCTGTCCTTGTAATCTCTTGATTTGACTTGTATTTCTTAATGGAGGGTTTAACCCTACACAGAACAAGTGAAGATGTGTTGTGCTTGGGAAAGGAAGGTAAAATGTGTTCAGTTATCAGGGCACATAGGAGCATGCTTCTGCACTGGCAAGAGTATGCTGTCTGGTTCGGAAATCCTGTCTCCCTCTGAGATGAATGCATTGCTCAGTTTGTTGGCAAGAGCTCAAAACAAAGTTCAGGACTCCAGACAGCAAAGTTCAGCCATTTTCAGTTTATTACTAAAATACAAGACAACACTTGGAAAAATGCTGCTGCTTCTGTTGAATAGAGACAACAGGAGACATCTGCACTAGAGGCTGACACACAAGAGTATCAGTGTATATATTCAGCCAGGTATCTTCACAATAAAATTTTTCATACCTCTCCTAAACCAGTTTTGACCACTTCTTGTGTTTGTTTTGATGACACCACACAAATAGTCTACTTATGCTAAAAAACAGTCTGGACTAAGTGCTAGTACAAAAATGCCTGGTTGTAATCTGAGTGAAATCACCTTCTCAGTAGTCCACTGAAATCTAAACTATCTTGTAAACTAAAGATGAGTTTAGCCTAAGTAGAAGCCATTGTGGAATTTCTATATGATGTCAGCATCATCCACAAATGGCATTCACACATCATGTAAATGCAAACACTGCAGGATGATGAGGTGTTGTCTATCAAGATGCTCATTTGCATGATGGAACAGGACAAGCCTACACTGCAGAGCTGACACTTGAGCTAGCTGTACACAAGGCAGGGTGGCTGAGCGAGCAGGCTAGCTGTAGAGGCATAGCACTCCAACCTAGGAGCATAATCAGCATGAAAGCTGACTAATACACAAACAGCATTGAAGACAGAAATCTGGCCTCAGCCCTTGGCTCCCTTTCAAGTCCATGCAGTGTAACAGGCACGTTCAAGGTAGGGGTGACGTGGCTTGTGATTTGGAAATGCCTGTTGGCTGCCAGTGTTTCTCTGAGTGACTGCAAACAGGCAGATGAACTGTGTATTGTCTAACCTTACACACCACAAAGTTTCAAAGCCTTTATATCGTAGATGTGCCCAAACTCTTACCCTGGGACCATGGCAGAGATACAGGGTAGGATATACTGGAAGTCCTTGTATCTGGGTATACATTTGATCTTAACTGCTATTGCTAAAACTTTGGGAGTTTATTTACTTGAACAGCATGCTAAAAACAACGGGCTTAGTCTGGTTCATAGAGTGACTCATAGATGTGAGTGGAAGGGGAGGAGAGGGGAGCAGCTGTCTACATAAAATAACAGCTTTAATAGTTTCTGAGTCAAGGACAAATTTAAAGCAAATGAAGTTAAATATCTACCATCAACATTCTTCAAAGAGGCAAGGAGCTACACACAAATAATATCACACAATAGGATAAATGGCTTTCTGAGCCATATATCGTGTAGTGATGAAAAGGCTCTTCTTAGTGACAGCTGCTCAAAGTGTGATGATGACAAACCTAATACTTTCTTGGGATTTGCAAAAATTAAAGACAATTTCCTACCCCAACAAGCACTATTCCAGGGTGGGCACAGTTTCATTAAATAATTCACCTCATCTGGCAAATGTAAAGGGACTGATCACAGAATTAGAAATTAGTAGAAGCTTATTTTTATATTGGTTACATGCACACAAACAGAAGTGCCAGTTATACATGGATACACACAGAGGCACTTGATTCCTTGAAAGGAGAGCTTGTACTAAGTTGGGAACTATTATAAAACTATATATAAAAAGTCCCTGGGAACACTGAATAGTATACAAGAGATCAAAAGCTATGGCCAGGAGAAATAGAGCAGATGGCTCTAAAGTGAGTTAAATAAAAAGTGAACTGTTATGATGAAATTTGTTCCTGATTAGGTAGAAACATGAGAACTGTGAAACGGACTCCTTAAAAAGAGATTCCTGTTCTCTGTCTAGGGAAAGGCCAAAGACCATACAGGCCTTACTCTGGCCAAGGCCTTCTGAGCTTTGAAGTTTTCTGTGATTAAAAATCAGCTCCACCAGAAACAGGAATAATTAACTATTGGGAACAAGTTACTGAGAACTGTAATTTCTTCATCACTTGGGCTTGTTTTACTACAATTAGATGTTTTTTAAAAAGAGCATTTCAATAAGCATTGAAAAGGATCCTAAACCAGCCAGAGCAGTGAAGCAATTTGTCTATTTCTGTGCCTGCACCACAGCTTTCTATCTAGCACATTGAGAATTTCCATCTCTGGCTGACCATCAGGCAACAACATGAAATTTACTTTGAAAACAAAGTAACCAGAGCAAAGCTGTGTTTTTTATTTCTCAGTCTGACAAAACTGGGGATGGCAAAGAGGATTTTGTTATTAAATTGAACAGCTTCAGTTGCTTCTGGAGCATTGCTAAAAATCATTATTTTACAAGGATTAGTGATTCTCACAATGGAGGCTACATACATTTTCAAAATAATTACTCCCCAGCAGAAAAAAACCAGAATTGTTTTCAGATGGGTTTATCTTCACACAAGCCATTTCCAGTCTTTTGTTTTAAAGGTTTAAACATAGCAAAAGAGCTCCTTGATAAGCATGGAATTTTTTTAATAGGTAGTATGGCAGGCAAATTCTGTAATACCCATTTTAGAAGGACTATTACATAAAAAGGATGTCTTTTATCACTATAGGATCGACTTCTAAATAATAATGATTGGATTAGTGAATTCTATGGTATTTTTGTAATAGTCAGCTCTCTGAACACACAATGGACTGCACCTGAAATTCCTGAAGTTAAATGTTGAATTTAGAAAAAACAGCCACTGTCATCTCCCAGTTGGCTTTGTAATAGTGTATGATGGAAAAAAGCTAGGTCTGCAGGAAATTCCCACTAGGAAACAGAGACTGGGGAAGGATTAAGGTCTACAGGAGTACCTTCTTCTAAAAATGGCCTGCAGAAGAAAACTAAATATGGAAACAAGCCCCAGCTAAGTGAAGCTATGTGTGTCTACTTTTCTCTGGCAATGACTGAAACAGCAGAATTACTGGCAATGGTATTATCTTCTTGTTACTGTTTTGTTTCTTTCTTAGTTGTGTGAAGGTGGGCTGGAATGGAAGAATTATCAGTGAAAGAAGAAAAAAGATCAGGAGAAGCAGTCTGCTAAGGTTTTGCAAATTACCAAAGTATTTCCCTCCTGGACCACAGCTATTCCTTCTAGTAACACATGAGAAAAAGCCATTCCACTTTCATCAGAGTGAGTCTTCTCCACCCCAGTGACATATTTCTGACCTTTCAGGGAGGGCTGTGTGCAGAAGAGAAAACAGATTGGTGGCAATTAGAATTGCAACATTGTTTGAACATTCATTGTGCCCTGTTTCCTTTTCTTTTTCTACCCTTCAGATGAATCTAAATGTTACTAATTTAGCTTGAGGAAGGAGGAAGCACAGAGGGGAGAGAGCTAATGGAATTTCTGATCCTCTGAGTATTTGCAATTAACATTATGTTTAATTGCAGATCGGGTTGCAAACTGTCTAGGACTGCTACCTCTTGACCAGCTTAAGTCCACTAAATTATTTTCCATCATGTTTGATACTGTCTAGTGCTATTATTCACTAGACTGGTTGACAAAGTAGAGAGAACAAATTTTAAAACTTCTTTAACTAACACACTGTTAGTGTAGGAAATGACAGGTCCTTAAGATACAATGTAAAAGAAAAACAAAGTTGTCATATACATATATATATATATATATATATATATATATATACACACACATACACATGGGGAGAATTTCCATGTACACAATTACAATGATCATGAGATTCCATAATGTTTAGACTGCAAATAGTTAAAGAGAGTGCTTGGTTGTATTGTCAGAAAACCAAGGCACAGAGAAAGAAAATAATTACTTCCTCTGTATGCTAGTCTGTGATTATTTATTTTTTTTAATGTTGAATGTTAATTTTTAGCAATTGTAGAAAGAACTCATGAAACCAAGAACTCACCCCAATGACTTCTGCTGGTATTTTGGAATAAGATAGTCCAGAAAATAATAGGCTATATATAAATAGATGCATAGTAGAAAATAAAGTAACTTGAAAGCATTTCTAAGAATTCACAAACACTTTATCCTCCTAAACCAAACTTAGCAGTTTTGGCTGCTAAGTGGCCCTCAGATCCAAGTTGCTAGAAGTCTCTGTTCACTGTCTGATACTGGCCTGTGCTCACCCTTTCTCGCTGAGGTAAAATATGGGGATGACCATTCAAAGAAGTGCTAGCAACATAATTTAATTTCTTACATTTTCTCCAGACCAAACTTGAGCTATCTTCTCACAGATTATCTGTTTATGGGGGTACTGACAAATCAGTACTCTAGGCCATAGTATTAAAGATATATATCTGAGTCTACTGACAGTTTTTTGTTTCCTTTGGTAGGACCTAAGTCGACAGACAGCCTTACCAGAACTGGCAAGCATTATTATACCATGGCAGGACATCTCACATACGCACCTCCTGGCTTTTACGAGTACTTCTGGAAGCAGCAAGGACAAAACAATTCCTAATACCTACAATGTTCACTAATGTAGTTGGTAAAGCTTGTTTGAGCAAGGGAAACATCAGTACTCCTAGTTCAATGTCTAGCGGAATTACTCAAATCACTTTGCTGGGCCACATCTGTTTGCATCAGTGGGGATCCATCTATTGGAGACTTCCAAACAGAAGAGGACCATGACATTACATGGAAGGCAACAACAAAACAAAACAATCCAAGAAATGAAAAAAACCCAACCTACAATCCCCTCAAACAACAACCCAAGAGCCTGCCTTAGGGATTAAGTGCAGTGTAACAATGTAAGTTCAGTTTTTTAGAGAACATTTGGGTGTACTGAATTACTTCAGACTATAGTAATGAACTATAATGAACTGCCGACAAGTAACATTTCTTTAGCAAAAACGTAGGAACAGCTTGCTAGCAGCTTGCTGGCTTTGCTTCATCTTGACACAGTATACTTCTCAGCCTTTTCTCTAATGTGTTAATAAATAGACAATGCCAGGATTAAATTTTACAATCACCAGTCAGATTCTGATTGTGCAGCTGGAATGGCATTGCAATCAACAGAATAATGCCAAAATATAGTCACACAAATAGCAGTTTATATGTCCATTATTATGTGTCCATCTCTCCATGACAGAGTTGTGTCCATTAGGTTAAAAAAAAAAAAAAAGCATCTCTTACTTCCATGGACCAATGATGCTTTCACAGGAAAGCAATCAGACATGTGAGAAAAGTCACATTTCCAGGAACACTGCTGCTGGTCAGTATCCAACAGTTCTACATTCATTTCCCCCAATTTTTTTCCTGTGCATGTTTGCACAGTTTACAAATCAAATGCAGCATATGCCCTCTCTGTTTTTCCTTTGTTACTCAATTATAAATACTAAAAAGTCTAGGTCCTGTAGTCTGCCTCATTTACTTTGCATGTGTGGGGCTAAATAAAGTCAAACAAGCCAAATTTAGAGTTCCCCAAATTGAGGGGTTCCCAGCACGTTTAAAACTGTGCACCATACAAATGTTAATAGATCTATATTCCAGTGCTAGAGACATTTACTCATAAGCATACCACATATTAAGAGAGTTCTGAAAATTCTGAAGTGTGTGAATTATTGGATATGACTGAAAAAAGTGCCTCCCATACCACTATGGAGGCATGTGGATTGATAAAAGGGGAGCAAAGCTTATGCACTCTTCTGCTGAAAGCTATTTCTGAAAGCTATTTCTGAAAGACAGGAGTACAGCTGAAATCATACCCATGGCAGTGTGATTACTGAGATGCCTGTGCAATGAAGTCAGTGGAAAAATTACTGCTGACTTCAGTAAGAACTGAACTGGTTCTATAACCAGGCATCTGAAAATAAAAGGACAAGGGGGAAAAGCCTGGTACATACTTGCTGCATGTAAAAAAATCCTCATTGCCTGTGGAAAATTAAAGCTGCCAGATCACAAGGTATAATCTGAAAGTTGCTTTTATGTACATCGTAAGTATTGCTTCTGGGATGATACAAAGATTAAGCACAACCCAAAGTGTTGTTTGGTTTCATGTAAATGCTACTTCCTTTCTGAGATGATACTCTGAAAAATTTAAATTCCTTGTGTGGCCAAGATGTCCACACTAACAGATACTAGACTAAACAGGTTTTAGGCAAGGGGTAATTTTAAACTTTTCTGTCAAGAAACAGACATATCTCAACTGTTGTTCAAAGTCAGGCGAGATTTTTGCTCTCTGACAAGACAGAATTTCCAGGGTAGCAAGAAACCCATTCACACAAAGGCTCAGACAAAGCTTATTAGTGGTTCAGCTTTCTCATTTTACCTTTCATGAAGGAGAGTCAAAATTGAACCCAAACTGTGGACATCCCATTGAATACTCCCTTTATCCGCATGCAATTTATTTAAATGAAGAAATAATAACCATAGTGCCCAACACAGAATCAACATGGTAATAAATTGAACATCTGCGGGCAACTTTTTTATTCTCTACTTAGCAAACAGATTTAGGAATTTCTGGTTCATTTCTATCTCTTAAAATAACTGTGATGACTAAGTAATTTTCTAATTGCTACTAGACTATGCAGTTTACAGGGATACCTTATTCACTGCTCCCATAGAGCCTTACCCTAATAATATTTTTTAATAAGTTCTGAAAAGGAACCAGCACAGTGCAGGTGTGTGTTGCTTACCTCCAAATCCAGGTCTGAGTGCAAAGTCATGATCCTCTATGCGAAGCAGCTGCTCAGATTTAAGTGGTCGTACTTTTGTGCTGTCAATTTTCCTCATTTTAATTTCTTGTTTGCTATGTTTAAAAATAAACAAGCTGTAAGAAACTTAATTTTTTTTCTCTGCGTTTTCCCCCATGTAACACGTAACTAAGCCTCTGCAACAAGACCCAAGGCAACACAGGTGAACCTGTGCTCTGAGCAGGACGTCATGAATTCTGTGCTTCTTTCTGGTGACTGTTGCTAACTTTCTTCCCTTCACAGAAGGTACTGATCAACATCCCAAACTCCACTGGGAAAATCACATGTCTAAGAATGGACTCCAGCTCTCCAGACGGGAATCTCATGTACTGAGCCTGCATTTAAAACGAACAGCAGATGCCCATCACAATGCAGGCACCTTTTCTGGTTTTCCTATAAACAGAAACCACACCAGAGATAACAGAGGGGTCTGGTACATGCCCATATCACAAAAGTATTGGGTTAAAACACAGACAAGATCTACAGTCAGATCTGGCAGCTGGAGGACACAGGCTCTAGAAAGAATCTGCTACATTATTTCGTTCTGCTATAAGGAAAATGCTATGGCGTCTCCTTAAGTTTCCACTCCTTGTTGCATGTCCTGCTTTAAGTGGTCAGACCCAACTAATTACAGAAGTAGCCATACCTTAGCTGCAGAATTATGCCTAGCTCTGGGCCCCCATTTCACGAAAGGCATGGGAAGATTGTAAGAATTTGTGTAGCTTAATTTAGAGGAACAAGACTGAGGGAAGGACACTCTTCAGAACACATCATAAGCTCAGACAGGGCCCTTTGCTCCATGTCCACTCCCCAGTAGGATAAGAAGTGGCAACAAAGGAGAGTATACATTACACTTTAGGAACGCATTTATCATGGTAAGAAGAGTTAAACATGGGAACATATTTCTTGTGCGGGTTTTGAGATTTCTTTCAGCCAAGCTATTTATGAATAGGTTAGACGTGTATCTGTAGGAATTACTTAAATACAGCTGCTTTGCCAAAGGCAAGGGACTCTCCCTAGACATAATTTCTTTGATGCTTTCTGTGATTCTCTGGGACTTTGATGTCAGCAGCTCTAATTATTACTTTATACTGAATGATAAAAACCTGAAGATCTGTAGTCAAACACTGCTTAAGACAAGGTATGGAATACTTTAGGATAAGGTTTGTGCCTGTATTTACTCTTTTTCTCCTTTCCCCCCTTTTTTCTTAATATCGAAGCCCAAGAAATTACTTATAAAAATGCTGTAACAGGAATGCTGAGGTGGCTGCTGGACTATTCAGAACCATTGAACGAATTAATTTACCTTAGCATTCTTGAATGCTGCTGGCAGTGTTGTCTGAACCAAATTATCAGGGCAATAAGAACACCCATCAGGCATTTCAGATGCAGACTTTTGTTTTCTAAGTATGAAAATTATGTGGATGCTAAAATAAAAATCCATACTTTCGAGAATTAAAATCACCACAGACAAAGGCTGTATCAGAGTAGTATGGACATTAGATCTGAACCCCTGTAATTCTCTGCAATAGGTACACAAGAAAATCTGCTGATGGGAACCACTGTAAGAAAAAATGATGGATTATGTTCAATATGCCATGGCACAGCTAATGCAGTTTGGAAGCATTAGGTCATTTGTCATCAGATGCCAAGGAAAATACCTGTTTTCAACACCTCCAATAATTTCACTGGAAGAAGCAGGATAAAATTATGATACATCTATTACAACTTCTTACTAAAAGCAAGCATGTGACTGAGGAAGGCTTTCTGTAGTCATAAGAGGCAAAACATAAGCTACAAGGGCAGGATTTTTTTTCTTAATGAGCCCCTGAGATGTTACATGATTAGGCTATTTCTTCGGTTTTCCTGAATGAGGACAAAATAAACACTAATGCTGCTTATATGTAAAGCATCTTTTCTGCCCACTTATTTGAACAGCCTCTTCAAGCTGATGCCTCATATACAAATGTGGGGCGTCTATAATTACTTCTAGCTGCTATCAGAAGTGGCTGCAACATCTTGCAGGGGTCAAAATAGCACTTTCATTACAAACATACAACATCTTTTCTTCAATACCTTCCTTTGGCAGAATATTTTTTTTTTCAATTGCAAAGGAAAATGGGCTTAACTTTACAGTAAAGACATATATGCTCAAGGTACTTGGAATTAATTTCATGGACACGGGTAACACTGCATATGTAAAGGTACCAAAAAATAAATACACTTCTGCTTCGCATTTTTTCTCCTTGACTGCTTCCTCCACCCAAGACTAAGAAGTGTTCTCCAGCAGATATTCCTTTAACATCAGCATTTGGGCTCCAGATGTTGCTCCTTGGCTAAAAGTTATATTATTAAATTGACCTCACTGTAGTATCACAGTTATTTAACTGATGATTCAAAGAGAATCGCATGTGTGTGTTTGTTTACTCCTAAGAAATCCTAGACCCATACCTAACTACTGATCAGCACTACAGCATTGTAAAATCATCAGCAGATGTTTTCTTGAGTTTCTTCCCATGGCACAAATTCCATTAATTCCATTAATTTTAATGCCATTAAAAAGCAGAAGAGAGAGATTTAACTAGCCTGGCTCTCAGAAAAGCTTCCTGATGTAACTCAAGATAGACTTTTCATTTCTACAGACACACTGCAAAGACACAGATTGTACTTTGGTGGCCTGGTACCCTGGTCTCTCTATCATGGAGCTTTGGCCAGCACACCACAATCTAAGAGTCTAAATGCAGTCATTGATTCTGTACATCACTGTATGGCATGTGTCAGGCTATGGCATTTGAGAGGAAAAGCCCACACATAATCACAAAATCACAGAATTGTTTAGGAAAAAGAACTTTAATGTCATTGAGTCCAACAGTAATCCTAGCACTGCCAAGTCCACCACTAAGCCATGTCCCTAAGCACATCTACACGTATTAAATACCTCCAGGAATGGTGACTCAACCACTTCCCTGGGCAGCCTCCAACGCAAGCAGTTTCAATGGTTGACAGCACTTCTGGTGAAGAAGATCTTGTGAAATCATCAGCAGATGCATGTATCAGCAGACACATGCACCTAAGGAAAGTAAATCTCTCTTTACCTCTTTAATACCAAATCAAAGATATCCAAAAGGTAGAAGTTACATAAATCTTAATCCCAGGAGAGTCTGGAGAGTTATACAGCAGTGTGATCTCTTGAACTTTTTAACACATTCATCAAATCTTGAAGCCCAGATAAATGTAATAATCAGAATTGTACAGTTCTCTCTCACACAAATAAAAATGCCTCGGTGTTCAGTAACATAGCAACATGTATTGTCAAAAAGCCTAATATTTTTGACAGTCAAATGCTCTGTTCTTTGCTGTAGGAAATGGATCATGAGAATAATCGCTTTCTCATGTACTTTTGGTTAATGCTTTAAAATCTTCTTTAGAAGAGAATGCAGACAAATAGGTTTGGAGGGAGAACTGGGTTACACTATTAAAACAGTGGAACTTGTAGGTTAAGTAACATTTTCACATGGGATTCTTTTTAAAAGGCCACCCATTTAACCAAGGCCATCTGTCAGCTGTGTCCCTAATACCTTTAGCGCTGGCTGAAAGGTTTTTCCCCAGAAAGAAAAAGAGGCTGGTGAAAAGTCACAGTGTACTGGAAGATAATGCTGCATTTTGAACAAAACCAGGGAATCAAACAAAGATAAATTAAACGTATTTAGATCCTTTCCATGGAAAAACTGATTTGCATCTTTGAAGCTTTGGGATCTTCTGTGGCACTGATTTTTTCCCAGTTCCAAATCACAAAGACCTAGAAAATGAAGCACTGCTTGTGTAACGAAAACTGCTACATCAGTCAGCATCAGCTGGCATTTCTCCTGCTCCTATTCTTTCTTTCTGTTAACACACTTCTGCCGGTCTCACAACACTGTCATATGGATCCATTTGTATGTATTAGTAAAGATCTGTGAAGATAGAGAGGACACTGTGCTAGTACTGTTACTGCTGTCCAGTGGCAAGAGATCAGTAAAGGATGTGCAGCAAAGGATACCATGAAATATGCTGTCTCCTACCAGGCTTCTCTCCTGCTTTGTGATTGTTTCATAAGCAACTCCTCTCAGCTACTGCAGAACAGAATAAATGCAAATGACAATAGCATACGCTTCCCTTTTACCACTGACAAAAGTGTATCAGCTGAGCTTAAAATAGACCTTCCTTACCACTATAGTGATAAGAAGGTATTTCATTTTGTTTCCATTAGATTCTTAACTGCTTCCTAAGACTAGCAAAGCACTAGATAAGACCTTATGTTGAAATTAGGATTAGTTCTGTTTATTTTGTTTTGTTATTACAAATAACCATTCACCAACACTCACTCCAAAACTGTCAGTGAGTTTGAAACAGTCTGCTTTTCAAGGGCTTTTGGATTAGACCAAACTTGAACCTATGACCTTGAACTGAAATCTGGAAGTACTGAGCAGCATGTCTTCTCCAGGCACCTCTGTTTTGCCACTGGGATATGTTCTGTTGCCTTGCATTGCTTAAGTGTGATTTTTATCACGACCTCTAGGGATTCAGAGATATGTCACTGCTAGATTATCACGCAAGAAGTGATACAGTAGGTAAACAGCTGAACACCTGCTACAAAGCATGTAACCTGAGAAGAGCTTAAACACATCAAAGGAGTACACTTATGTTACTTTATCTCAATATTTGATATTGTACAAATAAAATACCAGCTCCCCTGCTCATTTTAATAGGGGGTTAAGTACACAGACAAATGTAATAGTTGCATTCCTTCTCCTTCCGTAAATGGAAACTTATTACAATTTCTCCTCTCTCCCAAATAATAGAGAATTTGCTTGGATTATCACTGCCAATCATTGGTGTGTTCACATACTATTAGCTTAATCTGGAAACACATCTAGAGACCTTACATGGCAGATGTGAAATTGTGTTTCTGGAAATATACACTAACACTTTGCACAGAAAGGTAAAAACCTTTGTATCATTATTAATTTTAAAGCAGCTACTTGACTGGCAAAACTAAGAACAGAGACAATCTTCAACATCTAAAAGCATAAGTATATACCATAAAGGGAACACACTGTGTTATCACTACAAATAATTTACCTCATGTAGTGCTGTAAAAATGTCTTCTGTATCTTGATAGCGTAGCTACTTTGCTGCTTTGGTAATGGAAGTCACTTTGTAACATTGGCCTAGAACTTCAGAAGGCATTTTTGCTTCTTGCAATAGGAGTGAAAGGGCAAGTATCTTTGGCACATCATGATAGTAGTCTTTGGCACATCACGATAGTAGTCTGGTATCACAATAGTAGCCTGGTATCACTCAAGTTAAATGACCTGTGTGTGGGTATGACTGTTTACATACCTGTATGTATATGAAGCCTTCATGAAATCCAACATGAAAATATATCTGGTTATGCAAAATTAATTAATAGTTCACTGTTTCCATTTTGGGAACATGTTATCAATACCAAACATACTATAAATCCAGAAACTATCAAAACAGGACAGTGAACAGAAAAGGTGCATTGAAAGGTTGCTGACAGCATCAAGTTTATCAGATGAACATAGATGGAGAGAGTATATTGCTTACCTGTTATGCTTTCTTAAGAATGAGAACTGTTGCCAATGATGAAGATGGTGATGCTGACTTTGAGAACTGTGTAGGACTGCTGTTGGCCAGAGGCAGGTGAGGAGCAGAAGTTTCATAACCAGGACCATCTCTTCCAAAAGAGAAATGCAACTGATCAACCAGTCCACCTTGCTTTTTACTTCTAGTGCTTTTACTGTTTAAAAACAGCAAAAACAGCATAGCGGAAAAAGGATGCACATGAAGCAAGGCATTACTTAAAACAGAAGACAGAAGCATCCCAGTTCTGATGTCCTCGACAAGTTCTCCTCATATCTTGGCAAATCACAAATATTCCTTCAGCTCTATATCCCTGCAGATCTGCTGCCAAACCAGAAGCACTTTGCTTTTAGAAATACAGTAGGTAGAGCAATTTGTTTAGCCATGCTGTAGTCTGATCCATTGCTTCCACTCTTTCAGCATAGGCGCATATTTGAATTCTCCATCACCCACTCAGTAACCTCTTCAACATCGCCTGTGCAGGCAAAGTGATGTCAAACACTTAATCCCCCTTAAATCCCACACAAAGCCATATAAAAATCTGCTTTAATGACACAGGTCTCTAAATTAATCTTGCTTTCTCTGTATGTGTGTATCTGCTCCACATAATTTTCTGGACAAATCAAGCTCTTTCATTAACTGGCTACACTGTATCGTCTTCCTGATCATTAACATAATTTGTTTCTGATGATCTGCAGTAGCAAGCGTTTCGTCAGTAGATAAAAAACTACTTTTGGACAGCACAATATCAAGGAACAAGTCCAAACTAAAAATGAAGTCTTGTTTCAATATTCCCCAGTAACATCTGGAAATTACATTTTTCTTTTTTCTTTCACTAGTCTCTGCAGCTATTTGACTTACCCTAAATTTACAAGGTGTGTGCATATCTAAGATCCATCACTCCTAATTTTATCTTTATTTCATTTAGCCTGCCCTGCCTGTTCAGTAGCAGATTGAATTGCAAAACATTTTATTCACAAAATGTTGCTAGAGCAATAAATTGAGCATGCATGCCTGCTTCTCTTACAAAGAGTGGTAAGACTTCTTGTGGACTTAAAATTGAGCAACACTGACATACCTCTGTAGCTGACACGGTCAAATTTTATTCCTTTCAAGCCATCAGCAAGTTCAGTAGTTACCAAAATTGAAAGAACATGTTTATTTTTATCTAGAAAATCAGAAATATGAGATTGAAAGTTAGAGAAACGGAAATATTCAACTCCTGTCTAACAGATGTAGAAGTAATTCAGGTCTCTCAGCAGTAGGCTTCATCCTAACTAGAACAGACAAACAGAGGAATGAAAATAAATCTAACACTGGGTCTGCTGAAACAGTTAACACCCAAGCATATTGAGATAATAATACTGTGATGTGGGCATCTGCCACTTAGAAGTCCCATGAAATTCCCAACTAACTTTATTTGGGCTAGGAATTAATTCACAGATGCAAATGTCTTCCAGGAGAGGGTTAGCAAAGGACAGCAAATTCCTACTGTGTTTGCTGTTTTGGTGTTGAACAGATTATTTGCCTCTGACTTAAAAAGGTAAAAAAAAAAAAAAATCCCTTTCTAACCGTGCATAAAATTTTAACAGTGTTAGACTGAATTTGGTGCCTTAGATCAAAGGCTTTTAACCCTGTAACCCATCTCATTCTACACTGTTCATAGTTTAATCCTTTCCTGGTCAGCAGAAGTATGGAAGATCACTTGTTGCCTAACCCAGGGGTAGCTGTAGTGCTTCCAGCAGTTCTGGTGATTTCCAGGGTGGAGTTTCTGGAGAAGGTAAACGCAGGCTATAGTTAATAAGACATTTAACAGTTTCCATTAATTTGCGTTATCATTTGGGTGGAAAAGAGAAAACAAACAATCACTCTAATGAGAATTTATTCCAGATGGAGATAATGCTTGTTCCTGAGCCACTCTAGGCTCTATCTTTTCTTACACATAATCGTAGAATCACGCAAGAAAAGATCCAAGAGCCTTTGGATCCTCCTCTTTTCCCCACCCAAGCACAAGGCCCAACAGTAGCAGCAACAGTAGCAAATTAGATAAAAAGCTAACTACACTGGAGGCTGCATGGTAAATGTGTTGCCACACTTGTGCATATTCAGCTGTCTGCGCATTCATCAGCATTAACTCATTTCCAACCATTTTCTTCAACTAAAAAGGAATAACAACATGTATTCTATGATTCTACGCATATATACTGTCTTCTCTGCTAATAGTAATCATCGACATCAATATTTTCAGGGACTTAAGGGAAAGCCACATTTTAGATGTTAATGTTGTCCTTAGCTGAAACTTCTAGATATGACTCTCACTAAGCAGGAGATACAAGATGGGGAAGGAGAAGGAGAGGATGTTCTGGGTGCTGAGGTTATCTACCAAGAGCTCTGAAGGGGACCTGAGGTTAGATCGTGTCATGCTAATGCATAAATATGTTGACTTTTGTGTGCTGACTTCAAGGAACTCAAAAAGCCTTCATTAAAAATAAGTAAGTAAAAATTGCTTTGTGTATTTGTTTCCCAGCTAGGAAAGGGAGTGCTTAGAACCCCTGCTCCAGGGGTATGCCAAATGCAAACAAGTTCGCTTTGCAGAATGACTGGCCTGCCCCAGACCAAGCTGCTTATGGATGTTCCTTCTCCAGAAGGCACATCAGCCAAGAGGGGAGTCTTTAACATAAAAAGTTGTCATCCCTTTCAAGCCCTCAGCAAGTTCAGTAGTTACCAAAATAGATGTTGTTTTCATTCAGCTACCAGCACCCTGCTGTTTTATTATTCCTGGCTGTAGCAAGAACTTTACCACTAAGCTGTGGTGATGAAAAGACTACCCCACGGAGGATTTCCAAAACATGCTTGTTTCTTTCAGTGCCCCCCACTAAGATCAGTTTTAGTCCAAAAAAAACAAAAGGGCTGGATGCACGGACATATTCCATCACCTTCACACCACTGATGTCATAACACTAAATACTACCTTGAGGGGCCTTGCCTAAGCACACTGAAAATCTAAGCACTATCCCTCTCTCCTTAGCTATGCCATATTTCCAGAAACTAACTGTCTTGCCCCCACACACAAAGTCTTCAGGAGGGACTCCTGCAGAGGGAAATAGTGAAGGCTTCCATTAATGGCTGTGTAATATCAGTGAGGGCAACTAGACGTCAATGCATAGGCTTTTTCATACTAAAGCTGTTTTCATTTCCTCTGGGTAAGAGAGCATTACACAGGGCAGATTATATTATCATTTTAAATTACCATTAAGAAAACAGGTTAATCTCCTATGCATTTGTCAGTAATACTAAAAAAATCTATCTTTGCAGAAGAGTAAAGACAAGACAATACACTTTGCCTGTATTGGTCCTTGTGCTTAAGCACAGACCACTGTCTACTTGCTATCATTAAAATGTTTCTTTAAAATTATCCCTTCTCTGTAGGCAACAAAAATTTGTAATGCCTATCTTTCCAGGACAAAAGACAGTGCATGGAAACAGTGCATAAGAATAGTTTGCAAACAACAAAGGAAGCAAAAGAAATAAATATAAATACACCACCTAGCATCAAAAAATGAGAAGCCTTCTTTTAGTGAGCAAAATAAAACATAATTTCAGGTAATTACATTCTGGAACTCCAGATGCCTCTCTACCACAGATCACAAAGCAAAGCAATTGACACCACTTATAAAAATAAGAACAAAAAAATGTCAGGGATGAAGAGATGCTTCAGAGGCTGGAATTTTGCAGAAAATTTGAGCACATCTAAAGGCCACTTTAAACACATGGAGCTGAAATGCCACAGCACACTAGCACTTCAGCACTTAAGCACTGCTCCTCTTTTCACTGCGCCTAAATTAGCTGCAGTGAAAAGAGAGGCAATGTGGAACAGGGAGCATAGGTTTACCTGGCATGCACTTTTTATTCTCCTATTCAGAGAATGAAACACAAGGTAAAAAACATTCTTCTGAGTCTCCTAAGAGACACTCATTTGTGATAAACAACCAGCAAAACAGAAAGCAGATTAACCAGAGCAATGACTATGAGATTGTGAATGCAATAGTGCAGCACACAAATAGGCAGCATTTTGCCTTTCTATGGTAACAGACCCAGTGCATAGCACATTTATATTGTGGTGACTTGCAAAAATTAGTCAGAATTAAGGACACTTTGTCCTGCTTACATTAACACAAATGATGAATCAAGTTCCCAGAATAAGGCATCCATTCACGTTTCCTAACCAGACTAAGTGAGAAGAAAGCAAAGACTAAGCATTATGATTCCAGTTTGCAGACCTTAGTGTGGCATTTCACAACATGGACTCAAGTTGATGCAGAGACTCAAATCTTCGTTTATTACCACCAAGCCTTTTTTATCCCCTTGTTCAGTACTCTCCCAACCTGCACATACATACAACATTCAATCTCATTGGCCTCTGTAAAATTCTCCAGGTAAATAGTCTAATCACAAAGCTACAGATCCTCTCACAACCTGGTCTTCAATGCCCCAGCTTATCGCCCCAGGGCTTATCAAGCACCAAGGCCTCAGAGCTCATTCCCAAATTGTTCACCTTCACGCCCCACATCTCCCCCTTCTTTGTTTTGTATATTCACTATCAACACCTGCTTAACGGCTCGATTAATAAGAAACAGTATAAGCTAATAAAAACTAACAAAACAAACATTCTTAATACATTTTTTTTCACTTGTGCTCCTAGCCTGGTAAATAAACAGTTAAAGAACAGTTAACATTCTGCACTAACAATTGTTTTCAAACTATATAATTAAAATACAGATACATATCCGTTTTCACAGATTTTAACAAATCAATTTCTTGTGGCTGTGTTGTTATACCCCCCAGCCATCCCACGTGTCCACAGGATTTGAGGTTGCCATTGCTTCCAAAAGCAGTCTGAAAGGACTTGCAGGTGTGGCAACCGACAGGTGTCTTGTCCTGTTGCACTGGCTACAGATGCTCTGTTTTGGCTGGGCGGAAAACCACAGTAGGGTCTGTCCTCTTGTGATGAAGAGACAGAAGACAAGGCAGGACAAACCCACCGTGCAGGGACACAACGAGCTCCTTTATCTGTGGAAACACAAGCATACCCTTGTCCCCAGGTTATTAAAGGGAATGGGCCTTCCCATTCATGAGTTTCAAGATTACGTACTTTAACATGGGCTTTCCCCTGCTCAAAATTCTTAGAACCCCCAAAATGTCACTGTATAGGAGATCCATCCTCTGTCCAGTGATTAAAAAAATTCAAAACATAATAAACTTTTGCTATACGTTCTTGTGGAGTTAACCCTGAACTCCCCATTTTTGTTTCTGCAACATAGTTTTAAGGGTGCTATGTGTACGTTGAATAATTGCTTGGTCTGTGGGAGAATGTGGAATACCCGTGACATGTTGAATTCCCCACTGTTGAAAAAATGCTTGTGTTTTGTGTGCTGTATAACCTGGGCCATCCTCTGTTTTTATGGTTTTTCAAACCCCCAGGGTATAATATTTATTGGAGTAGTCCATAATTTAAAAACATGGACTACAGCAGAGAGTTCTACTACCTGAGGAGATCCTGTGACAATGTGTATATCATTTTTCCAGGTCCTTCAGCATCTTTCCGAACTATTGCTGCTCGGCCTGTCTTGCTAGACTCATCAGTGAATACTGTGAGGGCCTCAGTTATTGGCGTAATAGTTAATTGTCAACCAGGCAAAAGAGGAACAGAATGTAGGGATTGCACAGTTTTGTGTCCTGGGAAATGAATACTAATTTGCCCTGTAAAATCTGCTAGAGCACACTGAAAAGCAAAAGACTGGTGAGTTAAAAAGGTTAGCTGTTTTGTATCAATAAGCCGATAGATAATATTAGGTTCAACACCATATAAATTCAATAACCGCTCTCTTCCTCTCTGAATGACCATAGCTATCATTTCAGTGGCTATTGTAACTGTTTTTCCAAAATTATGTGACAAAAATATCCATTCCAAAATAATCAGTGGATCTACATCTTGCGGAACCCACTGTGCTAAGAGCCCATAGGGTTGAAAAGATGAATAAAAATGAAAAGGCTAATAGGGTGGTCCATTTTTTGCCTATGAGCAACTTGACTGGTTAATTTTACAACCACTTTATCAAGTGCGGTTTGCGCAGAGGGGGTGAATGTTCGAGGAGGTGTCAAACATGGATCCCCCTCCTATAATTTGAAGGGGGCATGGAGCTCTTCCGTAGATATTCCCAAGACAGGACAGATCCAATTTATGGTTCCTAAGAGTTTTTGGAAATCATTTAGAGTCTTTATTCCTGTCCTCAGGGTGATATTCTGAGGTGGAATGTTTTGTTCAGATATTTTCCATCCTAAATATTTCCAGGGTGGAGCTTCTTGAATTTTTTCTTCTGCAATTTGGAATCCTGCTGTTGAGACTGCTTGAATCACTTGCCATTTCACTTTCTGGGCTGTTTGTTCCAATTCCACAGCAATTAAAATGTCATCCATATAATGATAGATTAAAACATTCTCAAAGCACTCTTGTATAGGGCTCAAAACTGCCACTACAAATTGTTGACATAGTGTAGGACTGTTTTTCATGCCTTGTGGCAACACTTTCCAATGATATCTTTTATGGGGGTCTGCAGCATTGATTGAAGGCACAGAAAAGGCAAATCACGGTGCATCTTGTGGAGCAAGACATATCATGAAAAAAGTATTTTAAATCGATGAGTATGAGAGTCCATGTTTGCGGGAACGTTGTTGGCGAGGGGAGCCCAGGTTGCAAAGCTCCCATATCCTCAATGAGCTTATTTATCTTTCTTAGGTTGTGTAAAATCCTCCAAGCATTATTTTTCTTCTGAATTACAAAGACAGGTGTGTTCCATGGGCTGGTTGTGGGGACTATGTGACCAGCTTTCAGCTTCCCATCCACCAATTTGTTTAACTGCAGCAGTTTTTCTTTTGGGAGGGGCCGCTGATCTACCCACACAGGCTCATCTGATTTTCAGGTTAAAGGTGTGACCTGCTGCAAAACAGTTGCCCCTGGGAAAAGTCCGTACTTAAATGTACTCCCCATTGGCTTAAACAGTCTCTTCCCCATAGGGTAGGAGATCCAGACAACACAAAAGGCCTAATCGAGGCAGATCTCCCTTCTGGTCCAAAAATAACAAGCTCTCTGCCCTGCTTTGGAGAAGTTCGACCACCAGTTCCTGCTAATGAGGTATGAGCATCCACAATGGCCAATGATAGGGCCATTGTGATGCAGAAATGACTGTAACATCTGCTCCACTACCAACAATTCCTTGCAAAGTAATGTTTGTCCTCTTTAAAGTACAGGACAACTGGGGTCAGTCCGAAGTTAATTGTTGAGTCCAATAAATTTCAGGTATCCTGAAGAGTTAAAACATCCTGAGCCCTGCACAGTGTGGACAGCATCCAGTCACTGGGGTGAAAAATGTATTAATTGTGAGATTTGGCTTCCTGCTGGTATGGTGGCATTGGAGTCCACGTCATTATTTTAATTTCTCCTTCAAAGTCAGCATCTATGACCCCTGGCAGCACAAAAGGACCCCTTATCGCTGTAGAGGGTCATAATGCTACCTCTCCATGTCCGAATGGGCCATATGTGCCTGTTGGAATAAGCACAACTAATGTGTCTTGAATTATTGTCTCTCCCAAGGTGGCCAGGTCCACTCCAGCACCGCCGCTTGTGCTGGCACGCACACTGTGGCAGCTCCTAGAGGGGGCAATTTGGAGGGGTGATTTGTTGTCATGGCGCAGCCCCTTGCTGTGTTCTGCTTGGGGTTTCCCAGTAAAGTTAAAGGTTGGCCATCCCAGTCAAATTTCGATTGGCATTGACTTACATAATAACACCCTTTATGACAGAGCGAGCAAATTCCAGGTGCTCTCCTTTTACTATTTGCTTTTATTTTTGGACAAATGGCCATACTGACTGCATGAATAGCACTGTGACTTAGCCAACAATGCCACATATGCTTCAGCAATCAGAGACAGATCGTGCTGTCTAGACCCGACATTCATACAAGCATTTAACATACCATCTATGCTCAGATCTCGTAATGGCCGCAACACTTTCTGACAGTCAGGGTTAGCATTCTCAATAGCAAGTTGCTTGAAAATATATTTCTCATTATCAATCTGTTTCTCCAGAGCCTCATTATGTTGGTCTAAAAACTTCATAAACAGCTCGCTTGCCTCTTGTTTGATTCAGACAAAAGGCTGTCTCTGTTTACCAGCGTCGGAAAGAGTTTTCAAAGCCCGCAGTGACAATTGTTTAACTTGCTGCAAGCCCGCCTGGCAAATCCTAGCTTGCACAGCATTGGTGCCAAAATCAGCCTGACCCAGTAATGCATCGGCAGTAACCGCTCACAGTGGGTCACATGCCCTCAATGCTAAGTTTTCAGCAGCCTGGGTGCCTGCAAGCTGCCTCATTTTCGATTCCCACATAGTACATTTCATGTCCATCATTATCAAATGAAACAATGTTATGAAAACATTTGGGATAAATGCATGAGTATCACAGACAGAGTGTATCAAATGAGTTGTACACGTGGCCCTGAGTCCATGGTCCATCACCTTTCTCCTGATATCTTTGATAAAAGCACAGGAGAGACCTTCCCACTGTGGGTCTTGATCCAGCAGATAGACCACCGGGAAAGCACACAATACATCTGCATCCCTTGCCCGTCTCCCTACTCTCTTTACAGCTGCCCGTACACCATGAGGGTTTGGGGGACATAAATCAGGCTCTTTTTCTGGATCCATAGGTCCTGGGTCAAAAGGACCATCCAGGTCAGCATCAGAATTATCAGACATCAGAACCACAGGAGCAACAACAGAAGACTGATTTTCTGATCTCAAAGCAGAGTTCAGCAAAGAGGGCGGTGGTATGGGAGCCGAAGGTGCCGCTTCTGCCCCCTGTACTTGTGAGGCGACATGATCTTTTAAAGTTTCATTTGCCAAGAGCTCAATAAAGCGGCGGCAACTTTATCATTTTTTGTAGCACAGTCACATAAATTAACACCAATTTTGTCCCAAATCCCTAGGGTATAAATATTAGTGAAATTAATAGATGGATTGAGTTTTGATGCCCGGAGAAGGATATGTTTCAATTCTTCCTTGTCAACTTTTTTTCCCATACTGCTTAAGAATCATAGCAAAAACTTCTAGAACATTTCCCTGCTCTTTTGTTAAAGCAGACCCCATAATTCTCAGCCGCTTATCACTGTCCTGTGAAAGCAATCTGTACAGTTTGAATTTGCTTCCTTTCAGTGTACACCTTTGCTTACTTTCAGCAAGCAGTTCTTCTGAGCCACGCCACCGGATCGACAACTAGCCGCATTTCATGCCCCACGTTGGGTGCCATTTGTGGCATTTCATAACATGGACTCAAGCTGATGCAGAGACTCAAATCTTCGTTTATTACCACCAAGCCCTTTTTATCCCCCTGTTCAGTACTCTCCCAACCTGCACATACATACAACATTCAATCTCATTGGCCCCTGTAAAACTCTCCAGGTAAACAGTCCAATCATAATGCTAGGGACGCTCTCACAACCCCCACATCACTGGCCTTCAATGCCCCAGTTTATCGCCCCAGGACTTGTCAAAGCACCAAGGCCTCAGAGCTCATTCTCAAACTGTTCTTCATGGAAATCATCGCCTTCACCCCCCACACCTTAGAACAGATGAAATGCTTTACTTAACACCTGCAGTGGGACCCAGTTCCTTATGAAGTCTCTTAGTTGCAGCGGCAAGTGAACATTTATCACTGTCCCAAATAATCTGAGGTAACAAACTGGGCAGTAAGGACTGCAAAGTAAAAGAGAAGAGAATCCAAAAGCCAGCAAAAAAAACCCAGCTCATTTCAAAATCTGTGCAAGAATTTTTGCATAGTGCTTACTGAGATGGAGACTCACCCTGGGGTTTTAAAACCACCTTGAACAGAACTATCAGACTACTGCTGAAATACTGTTCTGCCCTTCTTCATCCCTGTAGTACACCAGTACTTGCTAACCTTGCTTCACCATTAACAACTCTTCAGCCCGTTGTTAAAGGAATGGGCAGCAGTGGGGGAGGAAGGGCCTGCCCTCTCTCTGTGGTGACAAAGCTAGACTGGCCTAAGCCAGCTTTGAAGATGTACCCTTAACTTCTGCTAGGCAGTATGAAAAATAGCAGTAATATTGAAGTAAGCATATAATATTTTCCAGTGAGCATTTAGTTCTACTGTAAAAAGAAAATCCTTATTATTTTCCTTTTCCCTTTCATGGGACATAACATTTTTGCGATCTCAATACAGATTTCATGTGAAATTATGGTTCTGAGCTTACTGTTTCTTATTTTTTTTAACATCCTACTGTCTATGGAATTATCATGTCATCAAAGGGAGCACTCCTGACACCAAACAAAGCCTACTGTGAAGGAAAACAAACATCTGTAGATTCGGAGTCACTGCCTACAGTCTGCATATACTTATCACCTGGTTCCAGAGTGAGCCTGAGTTTGGTCTTGGTTCTGAAGCTCTGTGAAGTCTGGCTCAGCTTACAACTGCTTTAGCATGTTGAACACACAGTCTTGAGAATGTTTTCCTAAGAAGTCCTCTGGTCTGACAGCTCCTCTAACTACAGACCTGAAGCTGTTCCACTCTCCCATTCCCATTAGTAGTAAAGTTAAGTCTTAAAATTGTAATCTCAATTCTAAAGCACAATCAGGAAATAACATGAATTCAGAAGCCTCTAGGAGAAATACAAAATATTTGGTTTCATTACCAAGTGGTCAACATAGCTTAAAATCAGTATTCTGCAAATGAAACGCAACCAAGTCAGCAAGACATGCTGATGAGAGATCAAAATTCTAGAATTCAAATGTAACATTAGTGGTCTCCCTTTTCTTCTAATTAGAGAACAATAATTTGCTACATTTCATTACGATAAAGTGCAGTTCATTAAAAAGTGATGGACAGCTAAGTAATTGCCTGAACATAGTTGTTGTGCATCTTGAGGGTGAGCTCTGGCAAAAAAAAAAACAGAAGCAAACAAGCAGCCACATTCATCCTAGGTTTACACTTCTCATAAACTCAGTAGCAGTAAACTTTGCCTTCCCACCACCTCATGCTGGCCACTGCAGGCACAGGAGGGATAAAGCTACCCTACTCCTGCATTCATGTCCATCTCTTCACAGGAGGAATTTCAAGATACTTCTTCTTTATGTCTTCTTTAAAAATCTTCTAGCATGTTTCACAAGGGAGGGAAGATCATAGGGATAATCCATAAGCCTGAGCAATTCACTGAAAACAAGGTTTTGTAACATCATGGCATACCCACAAGAAGTAAGTTAGTTTGCCATACGGTATGGCTTGAACACTGTGCTTCAATCTGAAAAGCAATATACTCTGCATTAGGTGGGTTTTTTCTTTCTTCCTTGGCAGTTGGCAAATACCACTGTCCCTCAGCAGCACTAACCAGTCAGATCCTAACTGCTACCTGAATTTCTTTTGGCTCATTTTCCTCCACAGACTGAAATAAAAACCAATTCAGCAACTGTGTTTACTGTTTTCTTGCTGCCACATAGATGTTTATAAAGAATTTTCTACAAAGGGGATATCAAAATGTGTCCAGTCTTGTTGTCCAGGAATCAACAATATCTCTGATGGGAACTAATTTATGAAATGTGTTTCATCTCTAGAAAACTTGTTTCCTGTCGCAAATGAGCATAAGGAGAAAAAAAAGCAAGGCCATGGATCCTTAGAGGCCTTGTGCAAGCAAAGCAAGGTGTAGGCCTCACAGGTAACCGGAAACCAGATGTGGGAGGAGAATGTGAAGGAAGCTGTGTAGAACTAACCAATACTGTTCTGACTAGTAGGCGTGGCTACACACCATGCAGATATAAGCGAAGTGTGCCACAAATAAAGTAGAAGTTTGCTTGTCACCCATATTGGGTTGGTGTGTCTTGCTTCTTCTCACCACTTACAAATGGCGCCCGAACAGGGACCATGGACTACAGGGCTCCGGCTACCGGGGACCCTGGAATACAGGGCCCTGAGTATCAGGGATCTGGAACGGCGAGTGAGTGGCGCCGGCGGCAGCGGCCGGGGAGCGCGGGCAATGCTGCTGCGGTGGCTTGACGGACCCGGGTGCTTGGACTAACCGAAAGGAGTCCGCCGCTGGGGCGAACCAGACACTGCTGTGTTGGGAGGCCGATCCGGAGACCGAGGTTACAGGACGACTCAGAAGAAGACGATCAGGAAAAGGCCGGCCATGAAAATGGACCGAGAGGTAGCCCTGGACTTACTACAGTGCTTTTTATAAAAGCGGGGAATTGAGCCTGAGACTCTAAAGCAGCTAGCAGGTCTAGTGGCTGTAGGGAAGGCTAAGGGATTTTTTGTAGATCCTAACACAGTTTTTGAGGAGAGTGAGTGGCGAAAGTTTGGTGATGAACTATTTGACTCAATGCTTAATGATGATAAAAAGGCAAAGAAACTCGGTAAACCACGGAGAGAAGTAATAAACTGTATAAAAAGATACAAGGCGGAAAAGAAAACTGCCGCGGTAGCAACGGCGAAACTAGGAACAGACGTCCCCGGTCGGTTGAAACCAGGGGAAGATTACAACTCGTTTTACCCAACTCGCGGGAGCACAGGGTTTCCCCCCCCCCCTTCCTTTTCTCCCCCTCCTTCATCAGAAGGTGCCGCGGAGGAGGTGTAACCCCCTGCTCCCCCACCACCCCAGTTCCAAAAGTAGGGACTTTGAAAAGGACAGAGAAAGTATATTAGAAGGGATACGCATGATGAATGTCGAGGAAGCTGAAAGGAAGAGGGCGGTGCCTCGGCGCCGGATCGATTGGGGCACCATTTTGAAGCATGCAGTAGAAAATAGAGATCATGCGCTAGCAGGAGATTTAAAGGGACTACGATCCTTTCCAACCCATTATGCCCTAGAGTGGAAATTTTTAACTCAGTTATGGAGGAGCCAGGTCTGCAGATGGCCACATACTGAACGAGAGACATCTGATAAGAAAGACATTGCTGTGAGCAACAGAGATCCTGAGTTTGGCCCAGGATCAGCCCCCTAATCCCCTGAATCCGAGCCAGATTTGTATCCTCTGCTTCCAGACTCTGACTCTTTGTCTCCCGGGTCGGTCTGCTCAGACTCACTGGCCCTGGAGACGCTCAGCTGTAACAATGGGTAACCGAGGATGTGATCATTACTGGTGAATTTTCTGCAATGGGCATCTCTGCATATCCTGTGTTTACTACACAGCAGGGGGCTAAAGAGTGGGAAGCTCTTGATCTCAAAATAGTTAAGGAGGCCTGACAAGCAGTGACCACGTATGGATTAAAATCCTCTTATACTCAAGCTGCATATGTTATGATTTTTCTTGCAATTGACAGGGGGAGCCCATACAGTTTCTCTGTGATACTCATGTACTAGAACTTGGTAAATATAAGTATGTCCAGGTTTCTGTCAACCCTTGGAGACCTCTGTAGATACTGCTGGCCACTTCTTCCAGCACAGGCTGGCCACCTGTGTTGGAATGAGTGTGCATTTTGGTCAGTATAAAAGCCCAAGCCTCATACGATGAGGGGGAGGCAGAGCCTCTGCGGGGACGCCCGCTAAGGTTGAGCCTGCCACCTCGTACTGCAATGATGCTTCTCGGAGCTGGTTTGCTGTTAGTCTCCACAGGGTCCTTGTGCCATGTTCTGTACGTGGAACTGTAGTGGGAGTAATGATTGTCTGGATTCTGTGCTTCAAATACTGTAGTTGTGTGGCGTGTGCTTGTGGGATCCCATAGGTGTGTGTGTGTGCGTGTGTTGAGGGCAGACGGTGTTCTGTGTATTTTTGTTGTTGGGTTCATGTAAAAGCTTTCAACGGGTAGCTGTTTAACATTTCGGGCATGAAAGGGTTAATGTAAAGGTGCGGTTGCCGGCGGGTATTTATGGTTGCTGCTGAAGCAGGCAGGCCGCTATAGTTGCTGCCCAGCAGGATGGCTTTCGCAGAGATTAAAAAAAAAAAGGGGGGGGGGGGGGGGAGAGAGAGAGAGTAATGATGCTGCATTTAACCTGTCTAACCTGTCTACTTCTCAAGAACTGATAACCTGGGGGAGGGGGTATATTTGTGCCCTCCTGCCTACAGGTCCATGGCGACTGCCTGCAAAGTTTGTCAAGTCTTGCCGTGAGCTGGACAGACGAATGGATAAACCTGATGCCTCAGCTACAGGAGCTGACTGTGAATACCCCAAGCAGAATGAGATAGAGGAAGAGAAAGAATGAGTAGCTGCAAAACATCACTTGGGGGCAACTGAAAAGTAACATCCTGAATATGTGTGCTTGTAAAGTAGCTATTATTAGAGGTTGTGATTTTGTGTATAAAGCCACCCGTATGTACTAGCTAGTCGCAATAAGAAACTGCACCTTGTATTGTATAGATTTGTCACTTGTAAAAGAGATGTTAGAGGATGGAAATTTGAAGTAGCTGCTAGAAAAATGCTAAGGCAAAAGCTAGAAAGATTTTAATACAATGGTAGTGTTATAAAGCAGGTAATGGAACAAATTAAGAGGGTGGGAGAATTCCAGTGGTAAGAAATTTCTTTGGCTAGTCCCTCGCTACCATCAGCATCTTCAACATGCTGCTGCACCCTGTAATAGTTACTCTGCTAATGTAAATGTGTGTGCCTTGCTGTAGTAGCAACTTGCTACTGGATAAAACAAAAGGGGGGAGATGTGGAGACAGTGTTCTCACGGGAGAATGCATAATTGGTACATAAACTTTGAATAATCCTGAAAGATACAGCAAGGCCATGAGAGGCCCGAAGAAGATTAAGCAAGCAAGATAAGAGGCTGGAATTCACCAAGTTAATGAGAACTGTGGACTGTTGGCAAGCTTTCAAGGTTGAGTTCTCACACCTGTGTTTAACCAATTATATGCTAGTCACTAAGGGTCTTCAAGGCACGTATGCAATCATAATATGCCAAATCACTGTAAGTGCTTCAGCCGGGGCCTTGGCTCAGCTAAACAGACTGAGTTGCTGAGTTGCTAATCAGACAAATACTAAATCGAAGGCAATTTCTGATTTGTTGTTTAATGTTGACTCTCTAAGACACGCAACACTACGGAACCTTTTGTTGTTGGAACAGGGACATGGATGTGAGGAGTTTGATGGAACGTGTTGTATGAATCTTTCTGGTCATTCTAATTCGATACATGCACAGCTGAAAACCCTGGCTCAGCTTACCCAGCAATTGCAAGTGAACAATGACCTAGGGATAACTAAATGGTTGTACTCATGGGGCATTACAGGTTGGCTTAAAACACTGCTATTTGAAGGACTGCGCTGATGTATCATTGCTATTTTAATCACTGTAGTTGTTAGACTTGCTTATAGTTGCGTGGTGAAAACAAGTGAACAGAACGATCCACAATGTTTTGCTTGCACAAAAGAAAAAGGGGGGAATTGTTGCAGAATGGCTTCAAGAGCAAGGCCATGGATCCTTAGAGGCCTTGTGCGAGCAAAGCAAGGTGTAGGCCTCACAGGTAACCGGATACCGTATGTGGGAGGAGAATGTGAAGGAAGCTGTGTAGAACCAACCAATACTGTTCTGACTAGTAGGCGTGACTAAACACCACGCGGATATAAGCAAAGTGCGCCACAAATAAAGTAGAAGTTTGCTTATCACCCATATTGGGTTGGTGTGTCTTGCTTCTCCTCTGTGCTAGCAAATAATTTCCCCAGTCACCAGACCCTCAAGCCAGGCTGTCCCACAAGGTCACAAGAATGGCGATACTGCTTATTGCAATTTTCAGTCCACCCCGCCTGTGAAATGAGCTCACTCCTCTAACTGAGATAACAGGGGTTTATTGAGGGACAAAGTCAATAAAGCAAAAGCAACAGCGTTGGGTGCATTACCATAGCCAGAGGCACACTGATTAGCATTTGTTACAGGTTTATATACTTTCACTACTGCATTAGCCATATACATATTCATAATTCCCGTGTATAGGCGGGAATATCATAGCTAGCTCCGGGAACTTATTATCGTAAGTCTCCTCCCCTTGGCGTTTGCTCACTGCTCTCCGGTGATCGTGGGCAGGGGTCTTGAGGATGAAGTAAGCAGTTTTCCTCATGCAGGCAGGGGTCTTCAAGATGAAGTAAGCAGTCTTCCTCATGGCGTGCTTTTCACCTTTGGCACAGTTGGATGCCCCAGTAATCACAAAACTAGCTAAAACCAGCCATGTCTGTAATTTTTCTGATAGCTGGCAAATATTTAGAATAGTGTGACTTTCATACAAAATTCATTGCAAGAAAAACAGGACAAGCAGACAAGAAGTATCCAAAGCTAGCAGATGTTCCAGAGCCACTGCCTCCAAACTAACTGATAAATAGAAGGATGGTGTGAAATAATTCACTCATGTTTAGTGGGGCCACTAAATCCTGTTATCTCACCACAGACTTACAACAAAAAACACTGTTCTTTATCTTTGACCTAAGTTAAGCTAAGAGTACTTTAACCCTATGTTTTCCAGGCACTAGCTTTCCTCATATCAAGTGTGTGTTGTCCGTGTCCCGTCCGTGTTGTGTCGTGTCCCGTCCCCCCCCCTTCTCTTTTACCTTTACAAATTCTTTTGCGGTGTGACTCCATTTTGCTCAAGAGTTCTGGCCATTTTCAACTTGTTGTCTAATCTTGTGTCCTTAGCAATCTTTGTTTCTGTTATTGTGAACTCATACAGTTATGTCCACATAGCAACATCTATGACATGCGAAACCCAGTACATTTATGTCTGTATCACGCAGCCTGTTCAAGTGTCCTACAGCATCCATTGAAAGATACAGTTGTACAGGTATTCCACAGGTCTGTTGCCCTGCTGTGACTGACAGGTGAAGGCCAATAGAAATACATGCATTAAAGCAAATGCGGTTCAAGACCTTGCCCAAGCTGTAGCTCTCCTGTTCATTATTTCCCTATTAATGCAGAGATAATGCTGTACAAATGCTTGGCCTGTGAGCTACAGTACAGGTATCCTGACTATGCTATGTTCCACTTGTAAAAGATACTTAAAGTTTAGCTGAGATCACAAACAAAATGGAGCACCTCCACTGCAAGATCACCCCTGCTGTGATGCTTTCAATGTAGAAATGTTGACTGAGTAATTGCCTCTAAGTGCAGGAAAAGCTATGGAGAATACTGGAATGTGTTTCCCCAAAAGCATCAAGTGCCTGCCTTTTCACAAAAGGAGAGACAAACCAGATGCCCACAGAAAGAAAGCATCAGCTTTTCAAAGCCAGGACACACACAAAAATACACCTCTTCATAACTGTATAAGGATGTTCCAAGATCAGTGGAAGTTTCTAAAGGCTATCAGCACAGATGGATTATTCACACGTAATAATGACAGATACTGATTCGGAGAAAACTCCAGGAACAAACTTGCCAACAAAGTTTCAAGCTGACAAGCAGGTATTCTTTATTGTGGTGCCGGGAGACACAGGGGATAGCTCCTCCTAATGTGTATCACCGTATTGCTACACAGGCCATCCTTATATAGTCACTGGGCATACATACATACTCGTGAGGCTATACATGAATTACATCATTTTCCAGAAAGTTTCCTGCATGCATACAAAAATGTGATGGTGGTCTCTGAGGGTCATTTACTTCTCCCAACAATCTTCATAACTTCCGGCAGTCTTTGAAGCACCAGCTTAATTAACATTACAGACATAGCAATCATCCTGTCTTCTACTTATCAGTTGGTTTAACTGTGCCCATCCTGGACATCTGCTAGTCCCCAATACTCCCTGGTAGATGTTTACACCAGCTCTATTTATCAATTAGTTTAACTGTGCCCACCCTGGACATCTGCTAGTCCCAGATACTCCCCATCCCCAGGTCCTGTTTCTCTATTCTGCTTTTCTTTCACTTTTTGTACTAAGGTCCTAAGGACCTAAACCTATGTCAACTATCTTCAAGCACCATCATTATTTTCCATTACAAAGACACCAAATTTAACATTACTTAGAACTGATTACATTTTGTGCTTTTATGCCTCATCTCAATACACACAAGGATTGACATCAGGATGCACAGTCACTCACAAACACATATGATACACTGATAAACTCCACAACTCGTTAAAGTTGTAAAGTAGGTATGCTTTATTCAGCGCTGAGGCGCATAGGGGATCGTTCCTCCAAAGGTATGTGCGTTTTTCCTCTGTTACTCAGTTTGTTTATATTACATATAATGGTTATATAAACATGAGAATGCTTCGCGCTTAATACATATGCAAAACCTATTTCCGTCTAGTATTATAATTAGTTTTCTGGCATTCATCCCATTGATGTGCTTGCACAATGCCTCCTGGTGGTGGTCGTTAGGGGGTCGTGAGGATGAAGGCCTGTAGTTTCTATCACCGTGAGGAACCTCTTGCTTTCACGCAGACTCAATAGGGTTTCGCCTCCTATCCAAATCTCTGGTTTGGTACAAGCTGGTTTTACGTACCTGAAAGCAGGAACTTGTCAAGCTTGTAAATTTTATTACTCTGGTTATTTCTTTTTGTTTCCTTTCTTTTTATGGTTACTATTTAAACAAGGATGTCTTTTAAGTGTGCATTACAAGTTATGAATCTTATCTATTGCAATTTTGCCTAGTAGCTGTAACTCCTATAATTCTGCTTCGCAATTTTAGCAACTTTAACTCCTACGGTTCTGCTCTGCCAAGCACGACTGCTTAAGCATGCAACGTGATAAACGTTAAGCAGGCACAATGTTAACCCTTTATTCACAGATATCACATAAAATGTGGAAAAACTATCAGGATAGACACAGACACACAGGAAATGACAGAGAGAGGCAAAATGAAGCACGCAGAGAAATCTGCAGCGACAGGCAGTTTCTTCTTCCAGTTGTGTCTCCTCACCACTGGGTACTGATGAGGGACTCAAAGATGAACTCGCCGTTTCTCCCTCTTCTGTTTTTGAGAGATAAAAACTATGATTGGTCACTGCTTTGCAAATACTTTCCCCATTCTGGAAAAAAAAAAAAAGCCTGGGTATCTTTTTTAAAGAGGCCAAAAAACGACCAGAGAACCCGGCACCCAACCGTGACCGTGACACAAGAGCGCGACAACCTCCTCGGCTGGGGTTAACGCGGTACGAGATGGCGGTTATGGAGTAACGGTCGCACCCAGCAAACCCCCACAAGATGGCAGCGCCAGCCGCGCCCCTCCCTCCGCGCGCAGAGCCTGCAGAGGCCCTGGCCACCTACAGGTGCCGGTGTTCGGAGGCTCTGGAGACGCTCACACACGCCGACAACGAGCTAGTGAGAGGGGGCCAAAGCCCCGCATGCCGCGCAGACTTCCTTCCACGTCCGCGGCTGCAATGGGGAGGGTTGTGAGGGGCGGGAAGGTCTCAGGAGCGGGAAAGGGGGGAAAATGGCCTCTACTGTTGATGGGCGGAGCAGAGGGGAGAGCTTGCTGTGGGGAAACGCAGTTCTTCAGCAGGCTCAGGGAGAGGGTGCTTGTTCGCAGGACGGCGTGAGACAAAAGCCGTATGAGCGCTGGCAAGCGGGCTGAGCTGGGAATTTTCAGGAAGCTGGTAAAAAGAGAAGGGGATAGCAACAGGAGGGGAGAAACCCAAAAGTTATTTTGAGCCTTGTAAGATGTCCTAGTTTGGTCAAGAAAAGTCCACTTTCAACAGTCTGGTTTTCTTCAGCAGATTTTTGCTGTAAGCTGTCCAGAGCAACTTTCCTGACATTACTTGCAGTGACTGATTTCCAACCCCTTAGCATAAGAAAAAATAGGTTCTGGTGACTGTAATTCAATCTTATTTCATTCAGTAGTCCTTGGTATATTATGTGATACAAGACACCATTAGAAGACCATTGAAATAAAGGTAGCTTCATAAAGTATGGACTTTAGTCAGATTGTTCAGAAATAACAGAAAAAAGTGAATACATTCATTAGTGAGAAAGAAGCACACCTCTTCACAAGTAATTTCGTATTGGTAATAGACTAATTACCTTATGTAGATTAAGAATATTTTAGTTAGTGATAATACACAGGAGGAATATGCTGAGAAATAGTGCTCCTGGCTACAGAGACACAGCCTAGAACATCAGCATACATAACAACCTGCAGCAGAGAGCTCCACAGCCTCCTTACCCAGCCCTGGGTTAAGTATCATCTTGTACTGTCTTGAACTTGCCACTGGCACCACCTTTTACTGTCATTCTTTGTGTGTTCTTTTGTTCATTATTTACTTGTGATTGCTTGTGTTGGAGATCTTAATTAAAATATTTTAATCTATTGACTGTGAGAGGTCCCAGTTTCTCTGCTTTCTTGCAATTCACATTGTATGTGCAGGGACACAGGCCCCAGACCAAACTCTGGTTCGTGCCATCAGACTGAAACACACCCCCTGTTGTATAATGTGACCCAGATGGAGCGTCCTACTACTGTATGGGCCCTGCCAGATTATGTAAAGGTGACGCACCATCTGCGCTTACGTCTGTGACCTGATGCAGGTGGCATCACTCTGTAACATAAGAAGTGGAAGAGGCTCTTTACAGCCCATGTCTTTTTTTTCACTTTGATCACCTTAGTACAAGGTGTTCCTAGAGACTCAGCAACGGCCTTCATCTGCCATCAGTATTAGCAGGAATTTCAGGATATATATGATGGAAATAACGACCGCAGATTTGCTGGTGTGGAAATAATTTGGGGGCCAATTTGGAGGCATTTTGCCCCCAAATGTCAGAAGTTTTAAAGTGTAAAATTTCAGGATGACTTGAAGATAAGTAATTTTAAGTAGCAGATACGAAATACCAGTGTGCTTGCCTTCCACTTGGTTAGTCTGGAGTGGTGACATTTAAAAGCTTTTCCAATACAAACAGTAAACAAAGTTTTGTTTTACAGGGAGTGTAGGTCTGCCAAGTCTTAATTACAGCCTGTTGTAGATCCAGTGTTCAGGAAAATGCCATAGAAAGGAAGGTGATGAATTTGCTAGGTATGAGAGGGTCAGTCCCTAGTATTTGGACTTGGAGAAAAGAAAGAAAATCTTTTATGCTTGGGAAATGCAGAGATACTCTGTCACCAGAGCTGGAAGGAGTATGGTTAATACCGTCTGGCTGGGGGAAAGTCTGTGTAAACTCTGGCTGAGACATTTCCAGAAGTATGAGCTAACTGAGACATGACCTTGAGTCCAAGTCAAAAATTAGGTTAAATTTTAGGGGACTTGCATTTATGCCTCTTTCTGAATAAATATTGAGTTGATTAAAACTTGTAGCAAAGCATTGGGTTTCACAGGCTTAGAGACCTGGCATCTAAGACTTGCTACAGAGCCCTCTTCGGTATTTCTGAAGTTGGTATTTTTTCTTTCTGTAACAAAGGAGGCAGACATGAACAGCAACATGCAGCTGTTATCAATGCACAACATTATGTAACTCATTTGTGTTTGATTGCTCCTGAAGAGTGTGACCCTCCTGCAGCAGGAGGTGTCACTCAGTCGCAGTGTAGGCAGTCTCATACGCAGGCTTCCAAAGTTACAGTCGGCAGCTTCAATCAACACTACACAAGTCCAGCCCCATGAGCTACTCGCAAACACACTGTGTCTATATGCACTCATGGATTACTGGGTATGTGGATGGCTCCCACTAATGGCAATAGTGGGGGCTTGTATTCATAACTCTTTTTAAAAAATCACTCTGAAAGTACATGTGATAGCATCCCTGTGTGCATTATGTGAGTCTCACCCCACTGCACCAAAAAAGAGCTGAACAAGAGGCAAGAAACTCAGGGCTCTAAAAATCATAGTTTGTGAAATGTCAAGGAAAAATAAACTGATTCTGATTGTTTTCCTGAAAAAGCTATTTCTCTCTCTTTGCTGTTCACAAGGCTTCTTTTACCTCTTTGGTTTTCAGGCTACAGATGAAGGTGTTCAGCAATAGAGAAAAGGATGGTGAAAAGGATACAGAGTCCAGCACGTCACAATTCAATGCAACAGAGAGACAGGGTCAATTATTAAACCAGCTGCTTTCTGCAGCCTGCAGCGTTTTCAGCATTTTGTAAGGAAAGCTGTTTGAAAAGCTACTTTATCTCCTGCAGTGTTAAATGAACATACCTGCTTTTGCATTTGTTATCGTGTTTGTAGTTGAAAGCATTGGGCAAACATCCACTGCTCTGTGTCTGTAGAGTTTGTACACCTTCTGCGTCAATTCCCTGATTCTGCAGAGTCTTAATTCCTACCAGTATAAAACTGGTACAAGAATATATATTAATGTAAATACTTCTGCCAGAGCTAGAGAGAGGCAGGCAACTATATTAATACTGCTAAATATTTTTCCATATTAAACACTAGATCAGCAATGCTCTGATATGAAGCTTTATCTATAGGAGGAAAATGTAGGACTTAGATTGTAAAAGCAGTCATGAAGCTTAACACCGACTGGCAATTATTCACACTTTTGTTTACACTTTGAAAATCCTTTTTGCCTTAAATTTTCTCTTGGGGACATGTGCTTCCATGTGCTTTTGCAAGAAATTTCTTACTTTAATCTTCGGCCCAGAACACAACTAGTCAAATAAAGGCTGTAACTCTCAGCAACACCCCCAGGTAAAAAAAAAAGGATTAGGAAAGGGTGTTATTATTGGCTTTGTCATCACTGAAAATAATGCATTTTCATTACACTGGAAGATCCTTCTTTTTCTAAAATCTTACACAAGCCAACAAGACAAAGGGCTAATTTCTACCATGATGCAGCTAGGATAATTAAAATTCAAATGGGAAGTACAGGTCAAGATGCAAAAATAGTCATACTAAAGTAAAAGCTTGTGACCCATCTCCAGTGTGGCTTACTCAGTACTGAAACTTTTTTTTTTTTTGTAATGTGAACACAAAGTAGTTGTTATCCATGTAAAAAAAATCCAGAGAAAAACAAGGAATCATAAAAAAAAAGTAAAATAATTTTACTCTTTCTGGTGTAGAGGGAGACTTTAAAACACTCTAAAGGGGCCACTGTCATTTCACAACAGATTAAGATTCTACTTTTTCCATTTTACAAAACCCACTGGATTGATTAGCAGACTGAAAGGAGAAAGAGAACAAATGGAAACACACCTCATCTAAATAGCTACATGCATATGCCTGGTACAATCAAATATGATAGGCCCAACCCAATTCCTATTTCGTTTCTTTAGTAGTGAACTTCAGAGATAAAAGAAAATGGCTCTCAACATTCATTGGATTAGAAGGCAGCAAGTGATTGTCTTCAGGTCCTCAAACCCTCTTGAATATGTAAAAAAACTTAATAAAAATTAGTATTTTTAATCTAGGAAAGTTTCTAAAGATATAGTCAAGGAGCAGCAGCAGATCAAGAAACTAAGAATGGATATAAAAAAAATATAATCTCCATTTCACAAAATCACAGTAGTCTTTAAACGATAGCACAGCCCTTCACGATCATTTGCAGCCACAGGAAATTAAAGAGATAAAGTGGAGCTGACAGGCAGGGCTAATGCCTGCAGCACGTTATTTTCTCAGTGTCATTGCCTATGGACCCGTGAAGCATGTGGTCCATTCATCTATGTATCTGTCTATCAGACTGACAACCTAAAACTACTTCAGTGCTGCAGATCCCAAAAGCAGAGTTTTAAGAGCAGACTGTCAGTAAGGCTTGGTTACCAGGAGCAGCCCGGCAGCTTGGGCAGAGCATAGCGCAGGCAGAACAGTGGAAATGAGCTGCCATTGGCCTCCTTGCCACTGTGGCTGGGCTGTCACTGCATCATTGCTGCTGTGTTTTCTGGGCCAGCTTTAGCATCTCACAAAAGTGAGACTGTGCAGGAATTGTTGGCCATTCATTAGAATAATCTGAAAAGGGGAAACTGATTTCCCTTTTCCTGCAACATTCCCTCTCTGTCATTGTCAAAGAAAATATTTTGCCAGAGCCCAACTCATGCAGTTCCTTCCTTAACCATGTCCTAGATCAGTCTGGATGCAGGGGCTAGGCAGGGAGGGTATTGCGGCGGCCTTAACACCAGGGGTGAAGGTAAGCCATGCTGCTGTCACTGCAGGGCAGGGCTTACATGTGTGTCCGCAGCATAGAGATCAGTGGTGAACCCAACAGCAGTGAGGGGAAGGGGAAGGAGGAGAATGTCATCAAATGTACATGCTTCATGTGTTAAACTTAGCTTATAGCTGAAGGCAACACAGTCACAACATGACTGCCTAAATCTAGCATCTAGAGTAAAATTAATTAAATTTTTGCTTATGTCTCATGTTATACCTCCAGCAAGATTAAAAAGAGTTACAGAAAGGTACTTCTACTTTATTTAAAAAAAAAAACAAAAAACAAAAAACAACCCAGAAACAGTTTTCATCAAAAAGGAGAAGCCTTTTCTGGAGACCAAACTGGGCTGATGGAATAGGCTGTACTCAGACGTATCTGATACAAAGGGCTTTCCACCATGAAACGAGTTGTTAAATAAATGCTTGTCAAAATAATAGCAGTTTTTCATAAGTTACTTAGCTCTAGGTTTTAATAAAAATAAAGTGTTGGTGTTCTACCAGGGATATCTGCTCAGCTGTGAAGGATGATCGAGAACAATGTCTCCCCAGAACTGAACTTCTCATGGTTATCCTGAAAAACGAGGAGTCTGTTTCATTTAGAATTTTCCTAAATTTAGGCTGGCCTGAAACGAAGACACAGCTTCCCCACCAACTCTGTGAGATTTCCTGCCAGTTAATAGCACAGCACCCAATGAGCATTGAGAAGTCTGGGACACAGTTTCCTGGAATCCTTCAGACCCCAGCATCATGCAAATACTCCAGATCAGCCCTTAAACCTTCACTGCAAGTTGTTGGGCCCAGTGGATTTAAGGAGGTGGATGTGTGGATGAAAACTTAGGGATGCTTATACATTCTCTGTGGGAATTGCACTGATTACAAATTGGTTAAAAGACACATTCTATTTTTTAATCTGATGCCCTAATTATTTATGTTTCGTTAAGTGAAAACTTGGTGGTTTTATAGCTTTTAATTAGTCATACAGGTGAGTGTTACATTTCTTTGTAAGCCTATCTCATCTTCCGTGGTGCTGCAGGTATGAGTTCCTCTTCCTTTGTTGATGTTGAAACTCATTACTTGACACACTAGTTGAAACTAAGTACAGTTTTTCTGTATTCCAGGGAGGATCCACTGCATACTACAGGAGCTCCACCCTTCTGTGCTCACTTTCCAGAAATCAAAATGAAGTGGTTGTATTGTGTGACTGTTGTGAAATGAGAAAGCAACAAACCCTTTATCTGGGGGGAAGAATTTTCTGCTATGTCAGCATATTAAAGGTACAGAGAATGTGGTCTTGGCTTTTACCAGGGAACAAGAAAGAAACTTGTCATCCCAAGGCTGAAAACATGAGATGCAATAGGCAGGCAGGTATCTTCCTTATGAAGAGTCAGTACAGACCATACATGAAGAACAGGCTATAAAGACCAGATACAGAACATTGACCCAGGATCTGAAATCTTAAATAAGTGCACCCCGAAATTCAGCATCTGAATCAAGAAGATATAAATAAGAGTCTAAAAAGCTACACTGTCCTCTTGCCTTATTTTTGATTGCATTATTGTTTGTTTATTGTTTTCTTTATCTGTGTTTACAAGGTGGTTGTTCAGACCTCAAGATGATGCCAGTTATGCTGGAGAGTCTCAACTGGGCAAGGAAAGAGAGTCTTCTGAAATCCAGTCACTTCAGGCATAGTTGGCTGGGGAGTTGTGGTTGTGCAAAAATCACTGAAATACTGACTTATTTTTTAAAAAACTGATTCTCTGAACAACATTACTTACAGCAGGAGGGAGAAGATGACATCCTGAAAAACCAGTTGTAGATGGGTTGTGTGATTCTCCCCTGATACCTTCACATTTCACATGCCTGTAGCATGAGATCTTAATTTATCATCAACTCTTTATAGACAGGGCATTGGCAGAGAGGTACTACTCTGGAGAACAGATTGGAGCACCTAGCTTCAGAGCCTCCCTCCCTCCACCAGTTTACAGATAGAGATTTAAAAATGCAATGGTGTAAACAGACATTCCCTCCCCTGCTCCAAAAGACCACTTAGAGTTGCTGCCACAAATGATGCCCTTTCTAGCCTCCAGCACCAAGACTTTTCCCATGACTCCCAGCTGACATTTTGTCCTTGTCCTGTAGATCTTACTTTAGATGGCCCTAAACATTTTCTGCCTTTTTAGAAAAGCTAGCTTAAAAATAAACTGTTAGCACCTGAGATAAAACAGGGAAAAGGAGATGAGTCATGTGGAGTGGAATTTTGTTGATGGAGATTTCCTGGATCTTCATGTGTTTCCCTGGGGGCTGGGGCTGCTCAAGGCCATTTGCTCCAGCAGCATCTTCTCTCAAACCCTTGGAGGAGTCTTTGGGCTAATCTTATGACAAGACTTGATGAGATGAAGCTGCTGTTCATCTCTTGCTTGAATCTCAGCAGTTGTCTCTCCTAGTTACGCAGAAGACCATTACTATTTATACAAAAAAATGGCCATAATTGACCCAGCAAGGATAAGAATTTTTTTAATGTTTGGGTAAAACTCAGAGGAAGAGGATGACAGATGTACTCTGCACCTGGACAGCAGGCAGTCAGAAGAGCAAACACAACTAAATGGTGGGGCAAGGATCAACAGCTTAAATGTGAAGTACAAATACAATGGAGAAACTGATTACATGACTCCTGCAATAGTTAGACTGTGGTGGGCTAGGAGAGACAGAATTTGAGAGAGAGTGAAACACCATACACAAACAGTTGGAACTGGCAGCTAGTTTGCACAGATCACTTCTGAAAACATTCTAGTTCCCTAGTTTTGAAGAAATGTATTTCCCATTCCCTCTTTCTTCCATACATTACATCAAGCAGCACTACCAGCTTCCGCGTGAGTGAGCATAGGGGATCTATTGCTCATTCTTAGCCATATGTTCATCAGATACTTATTTGCATGAGTGACAAATTGTTCTGAGCATTTGAAAAGCGACAGGAGGCATTGCCATTCTCTACTCCTACCTCATCTCTGCAGTCACAGCCTGTGCTGCAGTCAGCTCCCAGGCAGGCAGGGAGGAGGAGCAAGACTCACAGGCCAGGCAGATGTGAAATGTAGAGCAGCACCCTTAAACTGCAAAGGGAAATGCTGTGGAAGTGACCCCTCAGTGACTGCAGAAATGCCAGTCACTTTAGAGAGGAAGATGTTCCTTTCTGAGGAGGAAAAGCTAGTGAGGAAAAGGAGAATGGTCAAAGTCTGGCATCTCTGCTTCTGCCTGTGGGAAGTGAAGGCAAATGAGCTCTGAGTCCTTGGTGCTTGACAAGCCCTGGGGCAATGAGTTGGAACGCTGAAGGACAGGGAAGGTTGAAGAGCAAGCCTTGGTAGGATGGGCCAGGATGTAGTTGTGGTGGGAATCTCAGTTGGAGGCCAGAGGAGGTGGGGGTTGTGAGAGGGTCTGTAACATTGTGATTGGACTATTTACCTGGAGAGTTTCACAGTGGCCAGTGAGATTGAATGTTGTATGTATGCGCAGGTTAGAAAGTACCGAACAAGGGGATAAAAAGGGCTTGGTGATAATAAACAAGGATTTGAGTCTCTGCATCAGCTTGAGTCCGTGTTGTGAAATGCCACATCTGCCCCTCTCTGTTGGACCATCAAAGGATTTTTAAACCCCTCCAATTAAGACCTTGTATCCTCCTAGTACCGCTGTCCTTAACCTCAGTGAGAGAAATAAAGCTTAAAGGTAATGCTTCATTTTTTTCCATGTCTTACTTTTTTTTTAGAGTAAAAGCCCTAAATAAATGTAATTTTAATGTCCCTCTTTCTTACTGCCAAGTTTGAACCCCCACAAGACCTTAAAAGAAAGAAATCCTATGCCACAAGCAGAGGAGGTGAAGCAGGACTCCTCAGAGAGAAGCTGATGAAAGGGACAGCTGTAACATAAAGATTTGGAGGATATCACAGAAGAAGATGTTTGCTTTGAACATCTTAGTACAAGCTACATTCTTAGTACAAGCTCTGGTTTCAATAATGGTTCTTTCTTAAGGCATGCTTAACTCCTGAAACTAATCTTGGTAGTTCTTATTTAATCAGAGATTGGTCCTACCCACCAGCATCACTGTGAAAAGGAGGCAGAGAAAATTTGCTTTTCAGAGCAAAATTTCTAGTTCTCACAAGGAAAACCACAGGTTTTTGCTTTTCTTTGTTGTGGAGCACAGATGAAGGCTCCAGTATCTTAAGGGAGTTGGGGTGTGGTGGGAAGTGGAATTGGTCCCTCTGACAGCCCAGCCATCCCAGCATCCATATGTTAGAGTATTGCTAGCTTTTCTTGAAACCCAGTAAAACAGTTATTTTCTAGCAACTTGTGATTTGCTAGATGTTGCAGGAGATTCAGCTTTCTAAAAAGATGTCAGTTGTACTAAGAGCTTGGTCTTTGCAGCACCTCAGGGGAAGGTAATCCATTTTGTGCTCTGAAACTGTCTCTTCATTTAATTTTTTTTTTCATGTTCTCTCCATTATTTTCAACTGCTTTATCTTCTTCGCTTACTTTATCTTCTTTGCTTAACATCTTCCCATCTGTTTCTCTCACAAAACTGCATTAAAAGATCCTTACTTTTTATGTCTAGGTGTGGAGCTAAAATGATAATTCAGCTTTTACACTCCTTCCCCTCATTTTAAACAGCTCAAACAAGTCAGGCAACAGATTCCTACAACCAAATATTGTAGACTTATTTCTTACTTTTCTAATTGAGCCAGTTGAGAAACATTGCTTCTCATATTTTCCTGCATCCTTTAAAGCCCTAACTGTTCCACAAAGGATGTGGGTGTCTGGCTGCAAACCTGTGGTATGGCAGAAGAACAGCCATTCCTAATGTTCAGGTCTTCAACCAAACCAGCACTTTGAGAAGACTTAAAAAAGTGTAATTGTTATTATTATCATCGTCATAATCATCTGGATACTCTTACCTAGTAGAATGTAGAAAAAAAAAGGAAGGTGAGCAGACTACCAAAATACAAGCTAATTAGCCTTAGCTTTTTCCAGTATCAACCTATGAGTGAAATATAGTCTGAAATAATTTGGCTTGGGAGGCCTGTAAAACATCATTGACTGTTTCATTAACTGCCTTGTCCTAGCGGACCACTGTTTGAACTATAGGGGTATGTTTGTCCTTTCAGAATGAAGTGTTCTGTAGCTGTATTTCTGCAGACAGCGGGAATGCAACACTAACGTCAAGTCAGTAGCTCAGACTACTTGGATGGAGCACAAGGAGAACAAGGCCCACACTGTCCAAATGTAGATCAGAGAGTGATCAGATTTTTTCAGAGCAGAGGAAGTAGGCTCTACTCTTGCAAGTTAAGGTTGAAAAAGTCCTTTGATTTAGAGTTAGAAAAGGAGCCATGGACAGCAAGGCTGTTTCCCTACCCTCTGTGGACCAGTCATGGTTTAAGCCCAGCCGCTTGCTCACTCCCTTCCTTCTTCTTCCCCCTGCTCCTGGAGGGATGGGGAGGAGAATGGAAAGAATGTAAATCCCACGGGTTGAGATAAGAACCAATAACTAAGGTATAACACAAAGCATTACTGCTGCCACCGATAATAATAATGATAAGGGAAATAACATGGGAGGAGAATGCAATTGCTCACCACCCGCTGACCGATACTCAGCCTGACCTGAGCAGTGATCTGGGCCTTCCGGGTGACTCCCTCCAGTTTCTGTACTGGGCATGATGTGGGCCCCTTTGGCTAGTTTGAGTCAGGTGTCCTGTCTCTGCTTCCTCCCAGCTTCTCCTCCTCACTGGCAGAGCATGAGACTGAGAAAATCCTTGGTCAGAGTAAACATTACTTAGCAACAACTAAAAACATTAGTGTTAGCAGCACTGTTCCCAGGCTAAAAGTCAAAAACACAGCACTGCATCATCTACTAAGCAGGAGAAAAAATGACTGCTACTGCTGAACCCGTGACAGGAGCAATACATACTATAATCCCACAGAAATTAAAGGGCAACCAAAAACCAAAATACGCCAACAACCCCTCCAAGCCCCAGGTTTACTAGTTATTTTTATAGGCATGAGGCTGAACTTTTATCTTTGCTTGGGGAACTATGTGATTTACAACAGCTGCATAGTACTATACAGCTGTCAATCCCCTTTCCAGTCAGTCTCCTTTATTTTCCACTTCTGGAGACTGTATTTCAGCTCTAAACATCTTTTGATAGCACTGAGAAGTACCTGTTGAATAACAGGAGAAACCTTGCACAGACAGGCTAACTCAAGGAAAACAGAGACACCCTCACCAAGAGAGATAGCCATGAGAAGGTCTGTGCTGATGCCCTAGTCTGGTTCAGTACCTCTCACCTCAGACAGCAGTGTGTCCTTTCTTCTGAGAACGCATTGCAAGTCACTTGAAATTTCTGTTTGTAATCAGCAATATTCTGCCTGCTCCACACACATGGTAATTTTCATCCATGGCCACACCACAAATTCCTTGCCACTAGCTGTGCAGCTATCAGCTTCTTAGTGCTCTAAATAGCTCCCATGTGTCACATTTGGACAGCTCCCCTGCTCCAAGCTGACATTCCCACACCACAGAAATCTGAATAGTCCTGCACAGCTCCTCAGTTTAGGAAATCTAGAAATAATATGTTGGTTTATTGTTTATTTCTCAGAAAGTTTTGACTTGTGGATCTTCTGGAGACTGAAAGCAGGAAAAAAACCCCCATGCATGTACAATGCTCAAATTCAACAGTACATGACTGTGTATTTGTTCATATTTGTCACCATGAGGCTATGTCCCCAGGATAGTTGTTGCCTTGCATAAGAGAAGCCTAGATAATTTGGCTGTAGACTTAGAAAGGTGGCTCTAGTTTCGATTAAAAATACACTTGCATTCCCTTCTGCCTTATTCTTCACCACACAGCTTCCCTCTCACAGAAGCACAACTCTCTGTGCTCCTTTCCCTCTTGCCCAGACTTTCTTTACTCACCACTTCTACTGAACAGAACACACCCATGTGTTACTCTTTCCCAGCTCCCACACTCAAGCCCCATTTTTCTTCCAGGTGAAAGTGATACAAATTTAACCTCTGAAAAACCCCTCTAAAACTTACTTGATTTCTCCTTGTTCAGGCAAAGACAGGGCAGGTTTCCCTTCCTTCCTTACCCGTTTGAGTGCTGAAAGACACAGGTAGGACTGGGTTTGCCACCCTGAAGTCACAGCCCCTGGGCATGGCTACCTGAAGCTTGCAGACATGTGAAGTGTAGTTCAGATGTATGCCGACCTCTCCCCCATCTGGATGTCCCAGTTCTCCTAAGGCTGCACGGCAACACAAATGCACAGTGCTTTGTAGGGGAGATTAAGAAATGTTGTCTGCTCCAATTACTGTGCACTGCAAATGAGAATGTAAACGGGTTATTGGCACTTAATATCAGAGTGGGAGTTAACATCAATCTGTATTTTCCCATTCTAATATAATGTCACATCTTTTTCAATCTGTGTCCAAGAAACCATCAAAATGACAGTTCTGTGAACTGCCAGTACTGCTAAACAAGCAAACAAAAAAAGTGAGTGAAAGGCGAGACAGTCATGACCTTCTTGAAATTTCTTCATGTTTCATATCTCCTGGGCAGACACTGGGAAAAAATTCTTTCCTTTAAATTAAAAAACAGAACAAACAAAACAATTATCTTACTTTTCCCAGTGTTTGCTTTGGAAGAACTGGCATAATTTGGAAAAGCGGGCTTAAAGCATTTGTTATTAAAAGAAAAAAAGGAAATATTCTTACATTGCTTTCGTCCTGGCAGTGATAGATCCAAGTTATTTTAACTGTATATATTTTTTGTCTTGGGTTTATTCAAGGCTCTTCAGTATCTTTGCAAGCTTCTAACAACAGAACGTGTTTTCTCCACCAATGATGCTGAGAAAAGCATCATAAAGAAACTCGTCAATACAACTGTGTCCTGGGTTCAGCAGTAGCAGTCATTTTTCTCCTTCTTGGTAGCTGGTGCGGTGCAGTGTTTTGACTTTCGGCTTGGTAACAGAACTGATAACAAGGATGTTTTGGTTTGGCCAAGGACTTTGTGAGCCTCATGCTCTGCCAGGGAGGAGGGGAAGCCGGGAGGAAGCAGAGACAGGACACCTGACCCAAACTGACCAAAGAGGTATTCCATACCACAGCACGTCATGCCCAGGATGTAACAGAGAGTTAGCCAGAAGGGCTGGGACTGGAGGGTTGGAGGAAGTATCGGTGGGTGCTTGGTCGGGCCGGGGGGGGCAAGTTATCGGTCGGCTGGTGGTGAGGTGTTGTATTCTCTTCCCTTGCTATTTCCGTTCTCATTGTTATTATTGGTGGTAGCAGTAGTGATTTGTGTTATACCTTAGTTACTAAACTGTTCTTATCTCAACCTGTAGGAGTTGCATTCTTTTCAATTCTCCTCTCCATCCCTCTGGTAGTAGGTGGAGGGAAAGAAGGGGGGAAGTGAGTGAACGAGCCCTCTGCCTGGTTTTAAACCACGACAAACTGTTAAGTTGGTATTTGTTTATTCAGTGCTGGGCACGTGGGGGATCGCTCCTCCTAACGTGCACTCACTGTCCAGTTTGTCACAAATTTATGTTAGTAGATATACATGTTCATAAGATTTTTGAGAAGAGGAGGGGTCCTTCTTGGAACTCTGCCACTCCATCTTGAGCATGCGTACTGTCCTCTGGTGGTAGTCAACAGTGGTCATGAGGATGAAGGCCCAAAGTCTTCCTCTAGGTTGAACATTTTACCTTTTCTCTTGGAGTATGTGCCATACTTTCATGGCAGTTTCCCAAACCACCAAAGCGGTCCTGATTGGTATACATCTTTATCTTTAGCACACAAGCAGTCCCTATTGGCTTAGGCCTAGACAAACAGTAACAAAGTTGCTTAATTAACTAACTCACCTTACAATTTTATGCTAACTTCTTCTTTTTCTTAAAGCTTCTTTGTCTTAGTATATAGCTTCTTTGTCTTAGTGAATTTCTGTTATCACGAATAATTCTTGAAGACTGTTATTGGAGAAGATGGAAAAAAATGAGACACATAAGACTCCAGTAAACAGTACTTATTAGTAGCTGTAACAAGCCACACAAGTGATATCATTGACAGTTTAGTATTTTGAGACCAGCAATTACACACATTTTATGCTAGAATGTTTCTGTAAATTATAAATAAATTCCATTTGGATTTTTTGCGAATGAGAATGTTTTTCCTGGGGAAAGCATTAGTGGCACTGAAAGAGCTTTGTGTTGACTCCAGAGACCTGTTTTGCTGAAAGGAAAGATGCGGAGGTGACCAGCTGGCTCAGAGATGTTGAAAAAGCTTAGGAAATCCTGTTCTTAGGTTGCTGATTTTGGCATTAACTTGCTGGTTTGAAAAGTGATGGTGTGATCTGGAACCTTCCTTCAGTGGCCAGCTGTGACCACAAGCAGTTTCCAGTTTGCAAGATTTTGGCAGAATTTTTGAAACTGCTGATGTTTGAGAGTACTGATGGTGATACCTTAAGTCAAGTGCTGCAGACACTTGAGAGCATCATGTCTAACATGACAAAATGTAGACATAGCTATAAACCCAACATGTGTGCTTTACCTTGTTTTATTTTTCTGTTGTAAAGATGGTGTCAATCTGCATCATTCAGTGCATAATTATTATTTTTAATGTATGCATTTCTTTAGCTATCATTGTGTACCAGCTTTTTACTTGCGTATTACGTTTCATATTAGTTATTCTCTGTGTTTGATACAAACTTTTTGGAATAGTTATTTTCTGCTGGAACCTCCACCTCTTTGAGTCATTCAGTGATATTCAGCCTTGAAGCCATTACAACGGGAGATAATTTATGAAACACTAAACAAGAAGCCCTCTCTCCCCTCAAGAATTGACTAAGACAAAAACAAAAGGAGTTTGTTCATGGGTGATAATTGCATTGTCTCATTCATTTTTCTTCTGCAATCCTATTACAGCTGTCCAAAGAAATCATGCATTATACAATCCAAGTAATTAAAATATAATTCTAAAAGCTAATTGTCTATAAAAATCTAGAATTGATCCTTTACTCCTTAGAAATATGGAGGTAATTTCATTCATAGGCCAATTCATGAAGATCATCACTGGAATATTTAATGCAGGTCCAAAGTACCAACTTCTCATATGGTGTTGGAAGAATAAAAACACATTAAAATATTGCAGTGAGGGTATTCCAACACAGAGATGACTAACCCTAACCCTAACCCTTATAGGTCTCTATCTGAGAGAAGAATGCATGCAAGGTCCCATGGCTAAAAACTGATGAAAAACTCCTTGGTCTGGTGCAGGAGGAACAGACAAGCTGATCATCCTGACACCTTCAAGCTTTAAAATCTATGAAACTTGTACACCAGTTAGGAAAACAATAAGATATCTCAAAGCATTCCTTCCAAGACACAGGAAACTAGAATGAGAAAAGGAATACTTGTATGCATACTTGTATGCAACCACTTGTTGCATACAAGTAATCGCTTACTTATTGCTTCATTGGTATCTTTTCTGCCACAATAGTTACCTGAAATTGCAGTAATAAGGGTTGTTCCAGAGGGTCTGATTGAAAACTAGAGCTGGTAACAGGCTGTTTGCCCATTGAGCCAGGCCTTTCAGCTACTGCAAAGACATCGAAAGAAAGTGAGAAGAAATGTTGCTTTGTTCATCAAGGAAAATTAGGATATTAAGGATACTGTCTGAAATGCTTTCTGAATGAATTTTAACTCATCTAAACAAAATGCATCAACTCAGCTTGGGAGTGGCTGAAGAAAGTGTTCAGGAAGGAATAAGGCACAATATCTTCAATTATACTTTTAAAATGTAATTTAATTTCATTCCATTTTTAATTTCTAAAATTATCTTTTCTTTTTTTCCACAGCTTTTCTGAAGGAGAAAGTAATTAGGAGACTGAATTTGGACTTCAGCCCACCACTTACCATGGCCTCTGCCTCTATAGCCCCAAGTTGGTGGTACAACAGAAAGAGTCAAAATACCCTGGGAATTCAGCTGATATCGTTTCTCTACTGGAGGTATCACATGAATATCTTGATGCAGATCAGCAGTATAGACATTCAACAGTGACATTTCTATATAGGCAGTGTTTAATAGACCAGAAAAAAACACACAAAGTTCCATATGCATGCAGAAATATATATAGAAATATATAAATAGCAGAAAGAACCACCCAACCAACCATGCTCATCTCATACAAAGAGAGAAAACAACATTGAATCCCAGGGGGTAGGGGTGGGGGGTGGTGGGGAGCAGCAAAAGCAGGTGCAGTAATTAATGTTCCAGTGATTTAGTGAAATGCTGTTGCACAGGTCAGATCACACAACCATAATGGCCTCTTAAGTGTAGTCACCCTGAACAGTACAGAAGTTAGATAACTGAAGGGTTGTTCAATTGATAAAGTGTTATGTATGGTTTAAAAAAAACCCCAAAACCACCAGGAACAAATAAGCCCACAACAACCAACCCCTCAGCTTTTACTGTTGTCTTTTATTTTCACTGAAGTGCCCTGAGGCTAAAGGCAAGTCATGTTTTTATGCAAGAGAACAGCATGTCTCCTAGTAGCCTGAAGAGTTGAACAACAGCCTTGTCACAAAAATGACAAAAAAAGGTGCTCCTGGGTTTTGATCCAGATTTGTTCTGAGTAGGTGCAGGATTTTGATTCTGTGCCTTTAAAAACTGGCAGTTTAGCAAAGATGTCAAGCTGCAGAATTTTCCGCTGGCTAGAAAAATATTGCTGATGATCTCCCTGGTGAAACTGAGCAGAAATTCTTATCTCATGCAAACACTAAGTACCTTTTTTTTCTCTGTATTATATGATAAGGAATCAGGTGCATTCTTCACTTTTCATTGTATGCCAAACTACAATATGACATTGGGAAACACTGATTCTTTATTTCAACTGCTGATTTTTAAGAGCTCCCCCCAATATATATCTTGGTTATTGGATTTAACATTGAACTGTAAAACTACCTAGAATTCAATTACTACATGCTCAATACAGACTAATTAATCTGCAGATTCAGCTACACAAAATCCCTGAACTCATCCCTCAAGCAAGGCTGTGGATAAATGAATAAAACTGGCACATTCATCCTGGACTTTGCAGATTGGACCACAAAAACATATGAAATGGAGCCCAGGATGAATGAACATGTTCTACAACCACTGTCCCTTACAGCTCAAAGCCATGGTCTTTAAAAGCAGTGCATCCATCAGATGGTAACTGCTTCAAACAAGAAGCAGAGAGGGACATGTGTCAGATTTCAGCAACACAGGGTTTCTAATTCAAGATGTTTATAGTAGGCAGAAAACCAGAGTGGAGTCTTTAGAGAGTATTTACAACAGTCACCTTTCTGTGTCAATCTTCTCCTCCCCATCCCCCCAGGAGTAAAAATTAAGGAAATAGGAAACTATACACAGCTTTTTATGGTTTAAGGCATGGACTTCTGAAGTGATTCTGCATTGAGGACCTTCAAGCAGAACGATACTGAAATTGCAAATAGATGATACTGAGAAGAGAGGCAGAAGAAATAAATGCGTGTTCAAAAATAGCTCAAAATGAACCTCATCAGAGACGGGGACTTGATCTCCATAAGCACGCTCTGACCTCTTGGCAGATGGCACCCACACCAAACACTGTCTTGCTGCCTAAATCACAGATCCTCCATCTGATGTTTAATGATGACAACAAATTACTGTATAATGCAAGTTTGGGATCTCTGCAGCATCCACCACAATTTTAACATCCAATGTATCATTTTTGTAGGGCTTATCTAATGATACTGATTTTTATGCATTATCCTGATGTTTTGCAGTCCTAGGAACCTTGGTCTAGTTCCTTGACCTACACTTACATTTACAAGATCCAGGAGATCTATAGCTCACCTGATGTCAAGTTTTTATTAATACAGTCAGTCTCTGGGAAAGCATTAAAAT